AACTCCCTTTTCCGAATGTATGGAGTAATATATTTTCTTTTCAAATTGAAATAAATCATAAAAATATACCTCAGATATTTCTAGTTGATGTGTTTGGTAAATTTGGTAAGTTCCTTTATGACATTTAAGCTCTCATTTCCAATTTTTTGTCTTTGGCTGTCATATTATTAACCCAGGTCAGAATCAAGTGATCTCGCCTCATTGTGAATCCTTATTTTTCTCCCTTATAATGCTTTTAAAGTACCTAACTTGTCCAGTTATTGTCCAGAAAACGGTCTTACTTCATTGTGACATTTGCCTTTTTTTCAATTATAATGGCATTAATGTAGCTCGTATGTCCTGTTATTTTATGTCGTAGACTTCCTGCAAGTTAGTAATCTACGTCGGAACAAAATGATCCTACGTCATTGTGATATTCGAATTTTTGTCCGTTATAATCGTATTAATGACCAGTTATTTTATGCTTAGACTGTCATGCATTTCGTTAATACGCTGTATATGTCGGAAAAATAATCTTGCATCATTGTGACTCATGGCCTCTTTCTCAATTATAATGCTATAAATGTAGCTCGCATGTCCAGTTGTTTTATGCTTAGACTGTCATCCATGTGACATGTATTAGGGCGCATTCCCATATATTTTAGATCGATCTATCCCCGTGGGGAGTCTCACTAGATTACGGTCAGATAATCCGGCTTAAATGTCCGTCCCGCCAACTACATGCTGTAAGGGGGTAATTAACTTTCGTGCCCGCTCGGCTGACAGCTATTTAGCGTGAACCCCCAGGGAGTTAGGTCGATCTAGTTGGATCGATCTAATCTCTGGGAATGGGGTCTTAGTCTACGTTGGAACAAAATTACCTTACATCATTGTGACCACTGAAATGATGATACATAGTACATTCAAGTCCAGTTACCTTGTCTTATACTGTCATACTTATCTTAATCTACTAGTGCATCGAAACAAAAAATTATTTTGTCATGGCGAGTTTTGACTTTTGCTCAGTTATGTTGCTTTTAATGATGATACGACAGAAACAAGGGTATGGATGTTTAAGAAGCAGAATTTGCCATCAGTGTATCCTGTATCAGGGCCACAGATTGATTTCTCACTAAATATTAACAGATATGGCTAATTTTCTACACTATTCTCTACTGTATCCAGCAAGAATTTTTGTATGGAATTAATGGCATAACTCTACTGGTCTACAGAGCACAGTACTACTGTACTAACAATGATATCTAACAGTGTTTATCATTGTTTTGCATGTCTGATCTGAATATACAAAATGATGATTAAGATTATTATGGTAGATCTGATAGTGCCCACTAACGGTCAGAAAGTTAATGTATTATTTATATTTGCAAGCACGCGTTTCATGTGATTGGACGCTGCCTATCGCGCGTTTTATCCTGTCCAACTTTCGATAAGCTAAAATGATTACTATGAAATGTCAACATATTATCATACATGGTGATATTAAAAGATTAAACTATATCATATTTAGCTTATCGAACGTTGGACAGGATAAAATGCGCGTTAGGAAGCGTCTAATCACTCGTCACATGATACTGTACGCGTGCCTAATGAAATCAATAATGCATTAACTTTCAGAGCGTTAATTCACTACGTCAGACCAACGATTAAAATCTTAACGATTAATCTAACCATTATCAGCATGGTTGCCTTAATCTGTTTCTTGTCAATCATCTTACCAATCATCTTAAATGTTAAGGAGATTTTCTGTCATCACACTATACATGTATTATATATTCACTATTTGTCGACATTTTTCTTTTCCGCTACCATTGCACATAAACAAAGATTATTTGGAATCCATGTACAATTTTCAATATAAGTTTATTCGTTGTATGTGCCATAGGCTTTCTCTTTTTTTATTCTGCTTTTCTTAACAACCGGCAGTTATGATTCCAGCTCCCATACTTTAAAGACGGAGACAGTAAGATAGTCCAGAGCAATGCCATTATGAGATCGATTGCAAGAAAACACAACCTTTGTAAGTGTACACTTTCAAATCAGTTTGGGAATAACACTAAAGTACGAATATCTAACTGTTTGTGGCTAAGTTTTTGTTTATCACATTTGAAATAAACAAATACAATTAAAAAGAAAAATGATGATAATATGGTCATAAATTATTAGGCTTTATTAAAAGAGCACTTTGGTAGGTGAAGAGCTATCATCCAAACTTACCTTTTCAACCTTCCTTCATATCTGTCCCTTTTTATTAATACCCAACTGCTGACAATATAATTTTGTGGCAATTGACATTTGACTGGTTTACAATTAAATTGCCTATTATCGGGGATCAACTTATTATATACTATCAACTAATGAGACAGAAAAATGCAAATTCGTCTTAATGTTCATAGTTAAAGCACCTCGATATTTTATTCTTTATCTCTTCCTGAATCATCAATAGGCAATATAGGAAAGAAAACAGCAACAGCTGCACACTTTTCTTTATTCACATGACTTCACGATACAGCGTGGAAATTGTTTGGTTAATATCTAAATTAAGATTATGCCGATTTTCAAATTATTCATCGATACCTATATTTTTGATACACAATAAAGGTGGTACGACGGAAGACGAAATGGTGAAGTGCGACATTATGGAAAACCAGTCGATGGATTTCAGAAATGGTTTCGTCAGATTATGCTACAGTCCGGACTACGCAAGTGTAAAAAAACCCTGTTAAAATGTCAGCCTAAACGATATAAAATCACATCTAACAGAACTTCTATAATTGATGCAATGATTTCTAATTAGTAAATTGAGCAAATATATTTTTTTGTCTGAATCATATAATGTTTCAGGAAACTCTGCGACCAGAATACCTGAAGTCTCTTCCAGCTACGCTGAAGCTATTGTCAGACTTCTTGGGTGAAAATCCATGGTTTGCCGGAAAAAACGTGGGTAACATGTGCCATATAAGTGTAGTGCTTGATGTATTTGCCTAATAATTTGGTATTTGTATTTATTTATTTTTACGTGCTTGTTATACATTGCTCGGGTAGCATGTTTTTATTTATTTTTAAACAAGTACCTTTTTATACAATAGCTATGATCTTACGAATACATGTGCCATATAGGTGGTAATTGAGACAAAGCAAAAAATAAAAAGCGTATGTTTTACATCTGTGTCATGAAGCAGAGTAGATGATACTTTAAATAATTAATGTATTGATATGAATATTGTTGTTTTTTTTCACGATCCATTGCAGTTAACATTTGTGGACTTCATCATGTATGAACTGTTGGACCAACACCGAATGTTTGAACCTACATGTCTTGATGATCATAAGAACATGAGGGATTTCCTTGACAGATTTGAGGTATGTTTTATTAAAACAGCAATTTCACGATCATGTTTTGTCTTTGTGTAGCTAATTTGTACACATGTGACGATCACTTTATCCCATGATTTTGTCATTAAATTCAATCAGTATTAGAATAACAATACCATTTTTTAATTATCTATTTCAGGCTCTACCTGCTATTAAAAAATACATGAAATCCGAGCAATTTAGCAAATGGCCTGTGAACAATAAGATGGCAAAATGGGGTGGAAATTAAGACATCACTCTCTGTACATTCTTCTTATTCAGAATTTGTTGAGACTTTCTTAAACCAAGTTCAGAACCTTGCTATTTTCAATAAGCAGTCAATACTTTTTTCATTAATTCCGTCGGAATTAATCATGTTCTCTTATTGCTTTAAAGGACCAAACGGTTTTCAAGACAATTTATTTAACTTGCTATTTGATGGACTCTCGCCTTTGATTTCTATACTTCATGCTCGTGATCACGAGCTCAATGATTAATAGATGTCAGAACTCTAATAAGGAATTGAGGAAGCAGTTTATGTAGACGTGTTCCTTCAATGGACAACCTATTGTATTTGATATTTAAAAAATGCAAACAAATGAAAATAAACAACGAAAAAATCAATTTTTCTATATCTATATTGTCGGAACAAGGTATAATTTATGGAGTGTAGTGACTAGAATACAAAGTTTCCATTGTTGTTAAACAGTAGCCTACCTGTGACATGGTCAAGTTAATGAGCAACCTCTGTTAAAAGGCCCTCTTTGATATGAAAGGTGGATCACCTTTACTAATGTTCATCACGTAAAGGGAAGAGGAAATAAAAACTACTTGCATGCTATTGTTTACAAAGCTTGGATATGTGGCGTTGAAAACAGTGGATAAAACAATTCTCAAAGAAACACAATTATAATTTAACCACAAATAAATATTTTTGATTATCCAATGGTTTGAGTTATAAAGGTATGGTAATGAAAATAAGGAAAAGAATAAGGAAATAAAAAGTACTAATGCTGCGGAATACAAAAAAAAAAAAAAATACTCATGTTCATCGAGAGCGTGATTCAGAATGTTTCTTTTTACAAATAAAGCAAGTTGCACCATTGCTTAATTTCATAAGTTTTATAATCCAATGGTAAAAACAGAAACGAGTGTAACGAATGTATGCACCGTGATCAAGGAATCGCACGCAAGAACAAAAGCTGCATATCAGCAATTCTGCTAACAAGACAACAAACCAGTGGTTTATCCCATCTCTTTCTCTTCCCCCACATCTAGGATGAACTTAAATATGTGAAAATATGGTGCATTTTGGAGGATTCTACAATGACTTTGGAATAATTTTTGGGTTGAGGTCTGAACTTTTCATTTTGCGTTGGAAGAGAATAGAAGGGTCGCGTATTCTTTACCTTGTGATAAAATATTAAAGCAGTTTTTTTGATATTATTATTTATGCTTCGTTTATCAAATGTACATGAACACGGAGGCCTAAAATAATTACATCCCAGGTTTCTTGCATTAAGATACCATTTCCACGCTTCATCTTCTCGAGAAAACAATTCGTCTTCTGATTGTTCAATTTTCAAAACAACTTACAAATGATAAATAACGAAACGCAGATACACCTACTTAATTAAAAAAATGTATTTATTACCCTCAATAGCAACTCACTCAGGCGTGAATACAACAAGGAGTGGACGTATCATCTGTCTGTAATATAAATTCCATAATGTACCAGATAATTATCAAAATGCACTCGCCAACGTGTGACACATGACGTGTGACCAATACCAACACCTTCACTCAATTTAATGATTATTGTATGCGGTTGATGATTTAATCAGACCCATATACTATATAGATATAAAGATATTCTCCTTGACATGCGATACATTATCAGACACATCTGGATTCAAGAATAAGTTATAGTCAATCTAGAGAACACAAATTTTACCCTGAATCATCAGGAATGAAGTAAATTATTAAGTGTGCAATCAATGCACATTACCCAGAGATGGAAACAGACCTCTCTGAAATTTTTCTTCATTTCAGAGACATTCTAAATATTTTGTGCACAGAAAAAGGAAGAAACCCTCCAATAGGAGGAATTTTTCCTTTCCTTTTAACTCTAGCTTTAACTTCAAAGGTTTACAAATAATCTGTAGTGAATATTAATACACATAAACCAGGTCAAGCCAAAACCTATATGATGAACGTAATTTATTCTCTAGTGCCTTACGTATCTAACATATAAAAACTATCTATTCTTAACTTAAAATAAACTTAATGTAAACGCAGTGAAAGGTGTGTACTCTGACACTGTCCACGAAATGATTTCCATAAATTGACTCAATGCTGGCTATTCAATGGCACATTGAAAACTTGTAATTCCTGATGCCTCAAAGAAGGCGCCTTTGACATTACAGATAGTAATTATATAGCGAAAGTTTTAAACCTTTTACCAATATTTTTTTTTACAATTTGCTCCATTTATGTGACATTCATATTTAAAACACCAGCCTAATTTGCACAAGAGGTATAATCTGTAAATGGACATTTCTCCAAATGCTCTTTTGAAAACGGAATTACCATTCAGTTGGGATTAACCGCTCTTTAAGACTAACCACATGAGACATTTTATCTGAAAATATTCATTAAATTTCAAAATTTTATCATACTGGCAGGAAAGGTAGAATGCAGGAATCAAGTCCACCAAGTTTTATTACCTTTCAAAAATTTTTAGTGTATTCCATTGGCAAAATCCCGAACAATTTTAAATGGAATACTTCCCTTCGCACTTTAATAATCACACGAAAATTACCCTGCCCATCTCCCTTTTTGTTTGAACTGTTCACCGATACACTTGGTTCCTTCGTCTAGTGTTAACCACTTGGTTATCAAAATCATCACTGCGTACACACCTGTGATATTAGTGTTATGAGCTAATCTGATACGTGTCTGAAAGAATGGCATTAAGTCAGGGACATGGGCGGAGTTCGGTCATATGGTCAGCTCCACTAATGACAGAGACGAAGATAAACGGCCAAGTAGGGTGCGATTTAAAAAAAACTCACGTTTTATTCCTTTACCTCATTACTGTTCACAGTTGGTATGATATAGGTAACAACACAGTCCCAAAACCAATATTATTCGACTAATGCTCAGAAGTTACTTCCTGAAGTACCTCATAGCATAACGCCCTCCGTATCTATTTGGCAACCTATTATTGTTGAAGTAGTATCTCTGTGAGGGTCGACCGTATGCTCTATAATTGAAATTTCGATAAATCTGCCTGATTGGGTTGTACTTGGGAGTTCTTGACAATTGGACCGTGCCCACGGCTGCATGAGCCTGCTGTCTTGGTTGGCGGTAAGTGCTGGGTTGAGGTTGGTCTCGCCATAGAGTGAGGTCAATTCTGGGTAGAGTTGTGCAGTCCACACGAGAGTTGCCCACTCCCCTATACAGCATACTCAGATGGTAGGCCTGGGACGCTTTGAAGCTGAAAAACGAAACAGTGGAGCTACCATTTAAGCTGGGGGTAACATTTTGACAAAGGCAGTGGTGAAATATTGAGAAACCCCAAGTTTACAAAAATTTTTAAAGAAAATCGGAGGCATTGCGCAATAATTCTTTGGGCCTCTCACCATCCTCTATCCCTCTTGAAAAGGGGCGCAAGCTACATGTACAACCCGACTGCCAATTTATACTGAAAAAAGATGGGCGCTGTGTCCCCACCGTATCTGGGTGATATCAGATTAAACATAACCCGGTTCAATTGTTTTAAAACATAAAAAACTATATGATATGAAACTACACCTACATGTAAGTGTAGTAAACTTATTAAACACTTACTTTGGTGTACGGATGATATCCTCGAAAGCTCTCAGCATAGCTTTTGGCTGGATGGTCAAGACTTTGTCGCAATTGTCGGTGATGATACGTGAAAAGGACGTCTTTTTGATAGACTGCAGTTGCTTCAGTGTGAATCCGGCTTGCTTGTTCTCGTACCAGAAACGGTCGCCATCTCTGCTGCGAATGAATTGCTCTGCAATAATGCAGGCAAATGTAGGTCCCACTGTAGCTCCTGGAAGGTTTTCCTCTACCAGACCCCCGGCCCAGGAATCAACATCGTCTGGATGCCTAAAAATTGGAAAAAATAATACATCAAGAGTGTTTTAAATCAATCTATTGTGAATGTATTGACTGGACAATAATCCTACCGGATAAATAACTGAATGAAGTATTTAATTAGAAATTAAAAATTAACCTGTTAAAAATCTTTAACATCACTCTGGTATGGGCGCATAAACCTGACGATGGTTTTCTAGGGCAAATAACTTAATTTAGTGAGTCATTTATGCTCACCTTTTACCTTTACCATTATTAAAAAATAATGTAAATACGATAACAAAAATACTTGCCTGTACAACATCTTTAGTTTTTCGACTGATTCATAATTTATTCTAAATTCCCTTGGTCCGCTCATAAAGTCCTCAAATGTTTTTGCTCTGTTTCCCCCGCAAAGCTCTCTCCAAAGATTATAGCCTGGAATGCGAGGTTATAATTAATAAAAAAAAAAACTCAGTGGTGATTTGAGAGATTGATGAAAAGAATAACGTATCACATCGCGACCAAAACAGCGTCCACACTTACTTTATATGCATGGTGATTGTAATTGGGATTCGTATATAATGTTATACGAGGCAACAAATCTAGTTTTGTTTTTTTAACACCTAAAAGACACGAGAAATGACATGAAAGCAGTTTTAGGACATTTTCATTGCAGACATATTACTCTATATTAGTCTATGTGCTTATAATGTTATGACAAAGCCCCACTATATAGTGAAATGTTTCAGTCGTATGCACCACCTCCATCGTCTAGCTTTTTATCCATTCCAAATTCAAAGACACATTGTTCGTTGTGAAAACGTCACGGTATATTGCATCTGTTGCAATGTCCAGTGATGGTGTTTATGCTCCTTAAACATCAAACATCTGTCCAAAGTTGATAAATGAGGAAAATATTTAGATTGCATTTTTTGAGGTATGGGATTTTATCATAATTGCTAAGTACGGGGTCGGGGGTGCTAAACTGCCACAAGCAACTATATTCTTATTTGTTCCCTGACAGGGACAGAAAAGAGAGAGAGATGGCAACGCAAATGACCACGTCGCGTCAAACCGTGAAAGGACTTACGTGTGGCCAATGAAGTTGTCTTTGACAGCCTCGTGTGTCACGCAGTTTAGGTGACGCGAGTGTGAGTGTTTCTGAACTCGTCTAACATACCTGGAATGCCGTGATCTCTTCCACGCTGATTGTTTAACATAGCCAAATCTGTTCCAATGCCGTGTGGAGGGTTCTCGGCAAACATGTGAAGGGTGACTTGTTTGGTCATAAAGCGATCTGTGTTCTCACATTCTTGATCTAGCATGCCAGAAACAATGGAGTCAATGCCTCCTTCTTCGTACTTGTACACCAAGGCAGGACGACGGAATACCTATAAGGCAACAGGGTCATGCACTGTAGATATGCCTTAATTGTACGGGAAAACGAGATAATACTTGTTTGTGAAAACTATTTCTAAAAGATTTGCAAGGCAGAAGAATTTAGCATTATGCCATCTTTATTACCAACAAAGCAGTACGAGAGATATTAAACATTTTCATGCCTATTTTTAGGTTCATACTCGAAAATATTACCAATTTTACACTCTTCACTTATCTCTCAAGGTCAGGACTTTAAAACAATATTTCAGCTCTTTCGCCATGATATAATTCACGGCATAGACGGGGTGAGCTGATAGGTGGCACACTCACCGATGAGAATTCGTGATCTTTTATGATGTTATGATACACATCTGTGCGCCTATGTTTGGTCGGGATGGTGCTGTGGCCAAAACGAAAAGCAGATGTTGCAAAAACGTTGCTGATGCCAGCATTCACATTTTCTTTGTATCCTGCAACAACAAGAGAGATTTGCTGTTAACGTAGTCTAGCTAATATATAATATCTCGAGAAACTCATTAAACGAATTGAACTTTCAGTTTTTTTATTTGAAATCGTCGTCATATGTTATATGTCATAGTTAGTATGATGCATGGCCAGCGAATACTAACCAGACAAGCGGAAAGAAAACGTGAGAAAATATCATTTTATTGACACAAATTAATCTTTTGTCTATTATGACCAAGTTCAACAAGTTTAAGAATAAATTATTTGCATCACGATAGATATGAATCAATAGTAAAGTTAACGAGATACATGACCTTCCTCAGGCGAGGATCATCACGTTAAGATAAGGCATTTAAAATATTTCAAGTTACAGAGAGCTGCCGTCTCACCTGNGTTGCAATGTCCAGTGATGGTGTTTATGCACCTTAAACATCAAACATCTGTCCAAAGTTGATAAATGAGGAAAATATTTAGATTGCATTTTTTGAGGTATGGGATTTTATCATAATTGCTAAGTACGGGGTCGGGGGTGCTAAACTGCCACAAGCAACTATATTCTTATTTGTTCCCTGACAGGGACAGAAAAGAGAGAGAGATGGCAACGCAAATGACCACGTCGCGTCAAACCGTGAAAGGACTTACGTGTGGCCAATGAAGTTGTCTTTGACAGCCTCGTGTGTCACGCAGTTTAGGTGACGCGAGTGTGAGTGTTTCTGAACTCGTCTAACATACCTGGAATGCCGTGATCTCTTCCACGCTGATTGTTTAACATAGCCAGATCTGTTCCAATGCCGTGTGGAGGGTTCTCGGCAAACATGTGAAGGGTGACTTGTTTGGTCATAAAGCGATCTGTGTTCTCACATTCTTGATCTAGCATGCCAGAAACAATGGAGTCAATGCCTCCTTCTTCGTACTTGTACACCAAGGCAGGACGACGGAATACCTATAAGGCAACAGGGTCATGCACTGTAGATATGCCTTAATTGTACGGGAAAACGAGATAATACTTGTTTGTGAAAACTATTTCTAAAAGATTTGCAAGGCAGAAGAATTTAGCATTATGCCATCTTTATTACCAACAAAGCAGTACGAGAGATATTAAACATTTTCATGCCTATTTTTAGGTTCATACTCGAAAATATTACCAATTTTACACTCTTCACTTATCTCTCAAGGTCAGGACTTTAAAACAATATTTCAGCTCTTTCGCCATGATATAATTCACGGCATAGACGGGGTGAGCTGATAGGTGGCACACTCACCGATGAGAATTCGTGATCTTTTATGATGTTATGATACACATCTGTGCGCCTATGTTTGGTCGGGATGGTGCTGTGGCCAAAACGAAAAGCAGATGTTGCAAAAACGTTGCTGATGCCAGCATTCACATTTTCTTTGTATCCTGCAACAACAAGAGAGATTTGCTGTTAACGTAGTCTAGCTAATATATAATATCTCGAGAAACTCATTAAACGAATTGAACTTTCAGTTTTTTTATTTGAAATCGTCGTCATATGTTATATGTCATAGTTAGTATGATGCATGGCCAGCGAATACTAACCAGACAAGCGGAAAGAAAACGTGAGAAAATATCATTTTATTGACACAAATTAATCTTTTGTCTATTATGACCAAGTTCAACAAGTTTAAGAATAAATTATTTGCATCACGATAGATATGAATCAATAGTAAAGTTAACGAGATACATGACCTTCCTCAGGCGAGGATCATCACGTTAAGATAAGGCATTTAAAATATTTCAAGTTACAGAGAGCTGCCGTCTCACCTGTATAATAACCGTCTTTAAGGGGGTTTAGGCGGTACCGATCCATCATTATTGGGCCGATGACAACTGGTAGGTATTCCTTGTACACAATATATTGCCATTGAGCGATGTTGATCCTTCTTGCCTCTTGATAAAGAGTTTCTCCTCCCCAGTGGGGGTTTAGTTTGTGGAGTTCCTCCTCAAGACGGTTATGCTCTCTCGTGAACAGCGTATGAAAAGCTGTCAGCCCAATGTGTTCATTAAGACGTTTATCGCCTGTGCAAGAAAAGATAGAGTATTTGAAGTTCAACTTATTTAGAGGTGTAAAATGAATAAGATAGGTTCTTGATGAAAGGTTAAAAAAGTAGACCTTATATTAAAATTCATTTTGCCGGATCTTATATGAAGTGGAACACCTTTTAGAATAACGATTAAAATCAAATACACACAACCAAGAGTGCTGTATGATTTTAAAATAGATTCTTTTCACTGAAGTGTATGTATTACCCGCCATAAAGCATTTGATGACGTCGTCCGTATCCCGGCAAGCCTTGACTGCGGCCTGTGGCAGCAATGGTTTTAATCCGCGAGTAAGAGGATGCTGTTTCATTTTCATTTTTCCTCTCGCTTTAAACAAATAAGAAATTATTTCGTTTACTTATTGATTTCAAAATGCAGTTACAACTGCGTTTTTTTCATGCATTTAACAAGCAGTACATTTAACAAGGTAAGCTGAATAAAAGTGTTACTTATGAACATAATTTAGTTTAAAACAACTTGGACACGAAAATGTTATTTGTCTGTACTCATTCATCTCATATATATATATAGCACTCAGTGAGGTTTTAAGGGCAGATGTCTTGCGTGTATTTACCGGTTTGTTTCATCATCTACAAGTTATGAAGTAATAAACGTTTTTTTCCATCTTTTAAAAAATTATATAAACTGATATTGCTCATATACTTTGTGGGTTTAGTAAGTAAATGTTTTAACCGTATGTTGTGAAAATGTATAAATATATGCATTATCACTTTCAATCAAAATCGACGAGGAAATATAATTGTTGGCCTTGTGGATTGGTTTTCTTATCAAAAATCCAGCTTTTTATTCTTTTTCTGTTCCGTAGACATTTTCACTTTTACCTGGGTCTTTGTCGTCTCTTAACTTGGCGGCATCTTCGTCAGTATTTCCATAAACAAGGGAAAGATCCAGATATGCTGTAATGACGTTCAACTGTTCTTGGGGGCCTAAAATGAAACCGCATATAATAAATTGGAAATGTGTGTGTCGAATAAGCACTTTGTAGATTACATGCAAAATAGATTCATTAGTTTTCAATAACCAAGCCTCTCCAACTCAAACTTCAGGTTATTACATGATAAATAACAGTATAACAGATTCCCAAAAATATACGGTCTTGATTGCAGTGCAAAACTACTGGAGGGAGCTTACTTTTTCTATGGTAAAGAGGCTGAAGTCATTGATAATAAGCCTAAAAGGGAGAAAGTAATAACATTTTTAAACATAGTACTCGGCAATCATGCTCACCAAATTCGCAGTTGTCTCTGGGAGCAGCGGAACTGCGGACAAACTTGAAGCATGGCTTATCCACATTGTCTGGGTCACCTTTGTGGACGAACACGGGGGAGCATGCATCTAGTTCATCAGCGCCTTTGTCACATCCGTCAGTGCCGCATTCTACGTCAATTACCTCAGCGTTGCCGTCTGAAATAAAATAGTAAGTTGCGAGTCTGTATCTGGCCTATCTATCGTTCTCTAGTGACATTGTTTAAACCTGCGAAACCCTTTGTTGGTAATGCCAGGAATGATGCATATTCATAGTTCAGTGTCAAAAATTCAAATATTTGTCATTTTAAGATTTTGCAACAGATACTTTATATTTTCGGTTCTGAATATACGCCCATAATAATTGAAATTATAACCTTTTTGCCACGTTAAATGAAAACACATTAAGCCGAAGGAAACAAATAAATTATGCTGCAGTGCGAAAAATAAAAATTCACACAGGATAAAGAAGTCTAAACCGTTATCATGCGACAGATGTCAAACTACTTGGTATTTTAGTGCTTTAATTCACTTCAATTTGAGAAAATTAAGTAAAGTGAATAGGTGAAGTTATGAAATGCGTGCAAGAAGCCATTACGTATTTATGCTCAATCTTCTGTATTACAATTAAGTTGTCCTCATATATTTTTCGCCTAAAGCCAGACACATTTCAGTTGAATGAATCATTGTTTAAAGCTCATTTGTCTTTAATTCACACGGTATCTTGTGTTGAAGCACCGTACCATTCACAAGCCATGTAATAAGTTGTTTCCACGAATACCGTAGGTATTTATGAATTAATCTTCATGTGTCCCAGATAAATCGACCTAATACTTCCCCGTTAACCCAATATCACGTATGTTTAAGGTACCCCAAAATGATAAGCAAATTCCTACCATCATCTGCTTTGATGATTTTGGCCACCGGTATTTGGTCCATGTCGTGGTCAAGAAACTGTCCGAAGGTCATTGTCGACATGGTCACCAGCGCGCTGGGATTACTGGAGTCTTCATGGAGCAGCGTACTGACCACTCGGGCACTGGGCAGTGGCCTACCGTCCTCTGCATTTCGCAAAGCGCTGACACCTAGACGAACAGACAAATTCAACGTCAAGTTTAAATTGGCTCAGTTGAAGAATGAATCAGATAAGGTCTTCACGAAATTTTTCATTGTGGATATTGTGAAAATTGAACGTGATATTTTCTACTTTCAATCAACATGTATGTTCACACACTGTACGTACATGTAACTTGAACTCCGCTATCAAAATAAAAAAATCTAGGGTTGGTTTTTAATTTCTTATTCCATTAACTCTATTTGCATTCTAATTTCAATTTCTATTAAGAACAAAAAAAGGGTGCCGTGCTAACGTGAAGTATCTTATGGTCTCTGCATGACCTCAAGATTTTTATCTTTTGTGAAAAAGATGAAGTAATTGATAAATAACCCAAGCCAACACAGGGATGTAGGGTTTGATAAGAAGGTCTTGACGCGACGTTAANNNTAAATCTAATGAATTAGAAGTTCCTTAATTTCGCCCCCACCGCCAACAAATGATTTGATCAGGTAATCACTACCCTTATACAGTATAATCAACACACCAAGCAAAAGCATTAAAAAACTTACCGTCCCCATAGTTAGCAGGTAACAGCCTCCTCATTGGCTTAAATGACTGCCCCCATCCTGGGTTACGGAGATTATTACATGACCCGTTAATAGTGCGGTACTTGGCGTAAGGGTCACAGCTATAAGTCTCCGTTGGGCACACGTTAGGTGAAATTCCTATCCCATCAAACGTTGGAGTAAATGATGTAGAAAGGCCTTTTAGAACTGTTCCTCTAGGGATGTTGAACCTGCAGGGCAAAAAAACATTTATTATTCCGTAGTAAATTTATTTACAGCTGCGTGTTAGTACACTATTTCCTTTATATTATTCATGAAAATGATAACCCGTTAATTCAGAGAGATGGGCCAGGATGCCCGCGGCTAAAAGTCGCCCATTCCCGAAATTAAACAGTATGGCTTTGTCATTAACACCCCGAGACCCACTGTCTGCCAGAAACTAACCTTCACTATCACAATATCCATGCCATTTATGAATAGCTGAAGAGAGTGTAGTGACGCCAGAACTCTGAAGCTCAGGGTAAATTTTTACTTGAAGCGTTTTTACATGGCATTTATACGATGGAATTAAACCATATTCATCAGAAATATTAAACATAGACCATTTCAACAGCTACAAAGATATATTTACTTGCTGATAAGCTCCCTGTACACCTGATGCTGAAGCTTTGCCGATGTGTCCAAGATTTTTGTCTTTAGATCACCACCTTTTATGTTTGCTACCATTGCGAACGGATCTCCTCTTCTTCCTTAAAAAAGTGAGTTGTTTTCTCAGATACACACTGATTCTGAACACTCATTTCCATGACTGCTTAACACACGACATTTGTGAAGCTTTTATTATAAAGCAACTCGATGCGTTTTAGTATGTTAACTTTTTTTTACTGAAAACCGGACTTATAAACGTACACAGTTTCTACAGGTATATATATAATACATTAAACGTAGCGTAGTTAGGTTACTATTCAAACGTTGTCGTCTATAACTTGACTAAGAGCGCATTAAGAACAGATGATCTGCGGTCTAACTGATCCATGGACTTAACATGGTTGACCCCACTAAAAAGCAAGCCTCTCAATCCCCTCTGTTGCTCTCAATGCCTCCACATTAAACGGATTAAATCTAGACTCCGAAGTTTAGTTGTTACGCCCCAGCACGGATAGCGCGTGTGAAGGTTGGGAGACCATCAAGGCATTAGTCGAGATTGCTTTTAAGTGCGTCGGCCATATTTGATCCGCGGATCTGTTATTCCGCAGATCAACTGTTCTGGGTGCACTCAAAGAAAAGAGTCTTTAAAAACACTTACCCCCTCTGGACTCCTTTGCGAATTTTCTTTCGCTTTCGATCAGTCTCTGAACGTAGGTCACCGCTCTTTGCTGCGCCACTGGCAGATAGGCGGAGATGGCGCTGTAGTCAAGTCCGGGCCCCGTGGCTGAAACAGAGCCTGGACGTAAATGGTGCTAAAGAAATATTTTATTTCTTAACAAATACATAGCCTATATCTGAATAAGCACGGGTTCTTTAGCTTGACCCATTAACATGCACTCCTTGACCTTATCAATCAGTGGTATTTGATTTGCGTGCACCCTGTGCGGTGTAACGAAACTGAGGGTCCCTGTAACAGTAAGTCCGCCCCCCATTTAGTTATGATGGTTAGGGTTAGCCTGACCTAAGTGGGCCAAAATCTACGGCGAGGCTTCCCTGTACAATGAATGGGAAGCTGACTCTCTATCATAGGGGACTCTCTGTTCGTTACACCGGCACATTTAACTTAGAAATAAAAAATGGCATGTGTTAAATTATGGATTAAAACTGGCCCATCAAAGCATAGAAGTAGAGAAAACTAAATGCTGTACAACGTGACGTATAGGCAACTAACAGGGATGTTTGCTGTGCAGTAAATATTGAAACAATCGAAGATGGTGGTTGTACAAGGCATCGAGAAAATGGCGATAACAATACGAGCAACTGTTTGTACTTGGTACATCTTTCTCTCGCGGATTATAAAACATATCAAAATATGAAAACCTGAAACTGACTCATGCCTCTTGTTTATCCCATACAGAGGCATGGTGGATGATATACCTATATAGTATGAAACTCAAGTGTTGTTAAAACAACACTTAGTAGATGTAACACGTATGCACAGACCACTGTGCAATAAAATGAGAAAAAATGAGCAAATATTCATACTCGTGTAAAAAAAAATGGCACATAAATGCACGCTTGAGGATACGATACCATAAACGCCGCCATACTGGTAATACAACCCATAAAGAGGCATGCTGGATGATATACCTATATAGTATGAAACTCAAGTATTCAGCAATCTTGTAGCAGCAGTACATGTAACAACAAAGTACAGTTCATGGTTTTATATGTCTAAAAGAATCCACTTACCATAGCAGAGCGCGGTAAGAACCAATACGCCTGTAGAGATCAACCTGAAAAGAGAAAAATCCTTGTCAGACATACTCACATACCATCAACACGATTTTGGAGTAACCTCCCGCCAGATAAATGTAAAACGTGAGCCTTCGCCCTTTGGCTATAAACACTACTGGCACATGTATACGATAAAACATCAGCGTGATCAAAGACTTGATATGATAGTGAAATCTGGAGATGTGTCTTGTAGCAAAGTGTATTTATTGTTTATTGTGACTTTTCATGTGAATTTTCATGATTGTTTTGTGACACAACATGGTGTAAATAAAATGCTTGGATTAAAATTTTTCGTGCTTATTCAAAAATTATGAGTTATGTCTATAATACGTTGAGAAACGATTACTTAAATAAAATTAATATGTTGGTAAAACAAATTGTAAATAAATTGCTCTTGAAACTACGGTTTAATTCTTTTTCTTTAATTATATTAGCGCATAGCATACAATAATATATGATGATAAATGACACCCTGATCTTTGTTTCGTGATGTAACGTGGTTTAGATTGCGTGTGCACGTGAAGCAATACCTTATGTAAAAGCTTACTGTCTATGTACAAAGGACTACTGTTTCACAAGTGCACGTTCGGTATAAACAAAGGAAGAGAAGCGTGGCACTTCATGGAATAGAACTTCCAAAACATTTTAGTAGATGTTTTTTTTTATATATAAAACAAATCGGGTAAAGTGTGTTCTCTTGTTATTGGTATTCATGTCTTCTTTTACCCTGTCAAACTGGTGAAATGAATCTTCTCGGGTCAAATAAATGTGAGGTAATGAGTAAACACAGTTTTATTCATCAAGTTTGCTTTGGTATTCGTTACATAAAATCGGGTGAAGTGTGTTCTCTTGTTATTGGTATTCATGTCTTCTTTTACCCTGTCAAAAACTGGTGAAATGAATCTTCTCGGGTCAAATAAATGTGAGGTAATGAGTAAACACAGTTTTATTTATCAAGTTTACTTTGGTATTCGTTACATAAAAGCAGTTTTTTCGGTATCAAAACAAAGCGAATAAATGATGATCACCATGTAACTTCAAGATATATAATTGCACTGCATACAAATAACTACAACCAATTTCTTACGTGACTCATGTAAATAATAACCCAAATTAATCACGTTGTCAAAAAAAAAAATTGAAACTGCGCCCTTCTTTATATGTCTGCTCGTAAACTTGAACTATATGTACTATCTGCTCCTCAAGTTCGCAATGAAACGAAGAATGAATCGAAAAGAAATAATGAAATGAAACCCTGAAGTATTTCTTTTAGTGTTTTTATTTGAACCTATGTTGCAAGTGTCATGTCGTTATCTTCACTAAAAATTGGAAAAATCTAAAAATGAAGATGAATTTCATCAGGATTAAAAGGAATTAAAAACTCTCTGAACTAGGTGTTTGAACACAGTATTTTAAATGTTTAGAAAAGGAGAAACTGACATTGGCATTGGCGAATAAATACAAAATGTGATAAAACCAATACTGATACAGTGCATCTAGGAATATTGTGTCCTTGAGTACATGTATTGTTGCTATTGTTGTTATTGTTGTTTTTTTAATACAAGAAAGTTATACTCTTGAAATATATATTACACAAGAAGTTTTTTTTTATTTGATAAAGCAACATTTATATGAATTAAAATAGTGGAAGTGTATCAATTATGTCCCATTACGGTGTTCACAATGTATGTAGAAAGGTTTCCACTTAAAATAGAAATGTTTGAACTATCCCCAATGCCACTTCATATTTAAAATGGAATAAAAAAAATACAAATTAAGATTAAAAAAGTTCCGCGTCTAAATGACACACCATTTATTCGACGGACCACAATGAATAAGGTGAAATGGAATGGCCTGCTGTGCTCTTCCGTACCAGGCGAGGAATTGAGGGTCCACACTATTACCAAACTAATCGTGCTAACGTGTGAGGGGCGTTGCTTCTTGTTCTCGGTATTGGGCAATGTCCTGATGCAGCATATTAAAGACGGTTTGGTACATGATGGCCAATTTGTTCTTCGAATTATCTATTTCATCTTCGTGTGGGTCAACAGGTGTGAAAGTATAGACGAGGTTTGATATGTAGAGATGCTTTTGTTGGGCAAGAAATAATTACCACAGTTCAGCCGACGGTTAGAATTCAATAGAAAGGTCTTTTTATCACAACACAGTTATAAAATATGGTTTTATAATTCTAATTGTATCTCGCTCCCCACGTGAATCTCCATTATTTGTCTTCATCATTCTTAGCCTGAAAAAGGGGGAATGGGACGTCAGTACTTTTCGCGGCCTTTGTACACACAGTTGCGGACCAAAGATACACAAAATTTACCCAAAATACAAAAACGTCAGGTTATATTTGTTTGCAATGTCCGCCCAGTCCCTGAATACTGCCCGTATATGTCCCTTTTCGCGTGGCGTCAGTGTGGCGGACAACCTTGTAAGGATTAACGACCTCCGTGGCTACCTCTATTTTGTCAACCTTTAATTTCTGGCTTTTAAAAAATTGTAACCACATAAACAGATGCCATTTCACAATACTGGCATTGTTCACTTGAGGTGATATTTCAGAGACGCAAAAAATGTTACGTAGATAGAATTCTTGTGGGACATTTACACGGTCATTGCTATTGTAATATCGCTCTTTGTCATTTGTTTGTCTGCTTCTGTAGAATCTTTTCAGTTGCATAAAGAACACTAAGGTTAAACTATTCATTATGTAATAAATCACTTTCACCATTATTACATAAACGTGTTTCGGCGTGACCCAACGGTTAATTGAATTGTTTTTTGATAACTACGCTTTTGTTGGGTATTTGCAGCGGTTGAGCTTTATGTTAGCCCTCACGCAAAACCTACCCTCTACCAGGGTGGCAGATATTATAGGCAAATTTTCAAAAAGCCAGAGAATCAAATGACTGTCTATTTCTCTAAAGACATATTTGTGAGCATCTTGTGAAAAATCAATCTGTCGCCCTGGCAGAGGGTACGCAAAACCCAGGCGTGCAAGCATTTCGTAACATTCGTAACATCACCGTGAACTAGGTTAATTGTATAAGCAAGATCCCGATGCCATCTATATTGTTCTTTGAAGTACCCTTAAAGGATGCATTTCAAATTTCACTGCATTCTCAAAGAGTACAAAGAAGTGACAATCTTTTTAAAAAGAAACGAACATGTAAGCCATTGGTGGGAGAGGGAGGGGGGGGGGCGCAAATGTAAGCTGGTAAAATTGAGCCTTCGGTTGGAAAACGATTATCATAGAGTAAACGTACCTATACTATCAGTCAGGTACAAAAGTGACATGAATCACTATGGTACTAAGACTAGGTTCCCACCCCTAGATCGATCTAACAGGATCGGTCCATCTCCACGGGGTTTCTCGCCAAATTGCGTTCAGATTAAGTGGCTTAGATGTCTGGCACGCCTACTAAAACTGCTAACATAAGCGATAGTAAATTACCCCCTATCAACTTCAGTAGGCGTGACAGATATCTAAGGCCCGTAAGTTAATTGCAATTAAGCGAGAATCTCCTTGGAGATAGTTCGACCTAAAGTTAGTGCGATAGGGTCTGGGAATGGTCTCTAAGGGGCCAATCAGAATGGATGATCTGAGTACTTACTGATCCGCCGGGCAGAACAATTAAATTTCGGCAATACGCAGCAAGCTTTCAAGTCGGTTGCGACATATTTGAGCCGCGGCTCAGTATGGCCCAATTAGGCCGTGGCTCAACTTGGTTGTGAACTCACCCTATGTCCTTAATAGAATCTCCACCCTTGACAAATGATATGATGAGATATCATTTGTCAGTGATGTTTTGAAAAACGGATTTAATGTCCATGCATAAACGCATGATATTTCAATGATCACCATGATTTCCATATTCTTTTCAATCTCATGCAAAGTTCGCATTACCTATTATTTTTCTGAAATTTCAGTCCATACTGTGGGCTGGAATAAACACTGCAATATAATTCCTTTATAACCCGAGGATGGCCTTCCGCTACCTAACACGCTTCTTTTGACCGTTCTCATACGCGTGGAAAGATTATTCTAGAAGAAGAGGAGGGGGGGGTTAATGAAAATTTTGCGACGGGTGAGGTGAGGTCTCCATGTAGCATCCCCTGCTTCATGCATTTAAAACTGACATGGTTGAAAAAAATTCCATGTTTTTCCATTGAAATACAATATTTGATTAGAAGTAACATGAAGACGCATGTAACACTTCTATGAGATTTGGAAACAAAGAAAATAACGAGGAGCCAACAGAAAAACCTTCTAAAACTAAAATATTTAACCCAAGATCCAACAGAAGGGTTTGGATCCTACATTTAGCCATCCATACAGTTTAAAATAAGAATCTCAAGGATTTCATTAAAATTCGATCCTCAAACAAATGATTTAGATAATAGTATTTTTGAATAAGTCAGTAACTTAGGTTCTTATTTCCCTGTTTAATTAAGAGCATGACTTTGGATTTTTGCTCGATTACACTAATCTTCTGTATCTTTTATTAACAACTAGAAGGGCCATCGGCAGACAGTTGACCTATTTGAAACACAAAGAAGGAAATTGCATAAGATCACGTGTCCCCGACCTTATGTAAACCGTATCTTAAATCACGCGATCAATGTAATGTCGATGAAGCAGAACAATAGCGTTAATTATAAAAAATAAATGAAAAATGAATGAAATATGAAATAAGCAAGTAACACGCATAACATTCACTATAAAAAGAGCGGACTTAACGTCTTTTCGGCGTTTCGATATTTGATCGTCTCACAAACAAGTAATCGCCATGATGTTGAAAGCTGTCTGTCTCCTGGCTATTTTGGCCGTGGCGTGTGCCGTCCCTGGAACATACTTCTACCCAGGACCAGATGGACGCATCACATACTACCCCAAGGGTTTTCAGCTCGACCGTGCAGCCCAGGTTCGTGGCGCAGCCAACTACGCCTCTATTGCTGCCTCTGGTTTGAGCAGATATTTCAGGCGCGGTTCCTATCGAAAACGCTACTACCATTAGGCTTGCTGCGGCGCCAGGACGTCTTACTGGGTTAGTAACTGACACCTACATGGGTATTTTTTCGTTAAATTCTCGTAAGCTCCTTTTTCTTGGCTCTTATTCTTATCATTGCTCTTATTCTTATCATTTCAAAACCTAGAGAATTAAGAAAATGAAGATATTATATCAGATCTACTAAATATGCGGTTAACACATGACCAAATTCAAATGAATTTCAGTTTTGCGGTATCAGTGCCGACGTTTTGCAACTGACCAGTGTTTATATGTCCAAATAAACTTTTTATTTCGTTTTATCTATAAACTTTTTATTTAGTTATAGTCTTTATATTACTGCAGAGTACATTAAAATGGTTGAACTAAAGTATTTATTTCTTTTAAGTAAATACCGGCCAACACAATTTTGGGCAGCACAAATATCCGAAGAGCAAAAGAACCTCAGTGAATTACCATAAAGCAGTATGCAACATTCAGAATCCGGGTTTTGGTACACGCACATCTCAAACGATGGACATGACATAATTGCGCCGCCTGGCTTTGTTATAACGACTTCACCTATACAACCTTGTATTTTACCTAGTCAAATCTTGTGAGATGTTCCTATCAATTGTTTAACAATAAAACAATTTGATTGCCAAACCATCTCCGTGTTTATTGTTACATGCTCAGACGACCAGTATTGTTGACAAGTACATAATGACTAATACAAGATGGCAGATTACATTGCTAAAATGTCTGCATCGCCCTTTAATAGTTTTTATTTACTATGTCCAAAGACTTGGTTTCCGCTACAAATCCACCTGAATAATAAGGTAGCGTTAACACATTGTCTTCATTTGAAAGTAAAATCTAAATCAAAGAAGAGAAGGTTAAAACAGAATTTTTTTCAAGTCAGTCGAGTCAATAAATTTAAGGGAGCGTTCAAGTAAACTTATCAAACTAGCTGGGTCGATCTAACTCTGCGGGGATTCTCGCATAAGTGCAGTTAATGTAGTCAGTTTAACTGTCTGACACACCTTCTCAACCAGCAAGGGGTTAATTTACCTTAAAAACCTTATAATGATGTAAGCATAAAGGGGTAGATTTTTCGTAGGTCTTATTTGTTCATAACCATAATTTCTAATGTGATGTTATTCTCATAGCCATGTTTTCATTAGGACTCATTCAGTCAATACCGGATGCAAAATCAGCAGAATTTCCCAAAATTTGCAATGTGCCAACCGGATATTGACCAGACGCTAAGGTGAAAGGCTACAAAGACACTTTCTTTTCAAACCAAAGGTTATAACTTGTCTTAATAGTTGCCATTATTACTGAACTTTGAAACAAATTGACTCAGAAGTCTTAAGTTAATAGTATGTTCCGTGTAAGTTTGTGTAACACAACACCTTGTAAGTAGCATACAAGGTTCTGTTCAAAAATTCAAGGTTATAATTTTGGTATTCTGATCTTGATAACACACAACTTGTTGTCAAGCAGAAAGCACTTTTGTTTACGCCCATTTAGTTTCATTGCTTGCTTGTCTATCATTACTCTGCCCATTAGTCTCATTGCAGTCTTTCTGTCTGCTTCTTCTCCTGCCCAGTGGCAGGACCCTTTGAGCTGTACAGTGATTGCTGTAACCTGTAACACGGTTTTCTCCCTTTCACAAGTTCCAATGTAGCAATCAATCAGAGCGCATTCGGAACAGCGGACTAACAGATCCGCGGATCAAATATGGCGACCGACTTAAAAGCTTGCCGCTCAAGTTTCAATTAGACACTGAATAGATTCCTCGTGGGGATTACGCAACAAGCGTTCAAGTGGATCGGCCATATTTGACAGCGGATATGTTAGTTCGCTGTTCTGAATGAGCTCATAGCTGGCCATGTCGCGTGCTTGAGCTCCGTTAAGGTTACTCTTTTACGTAAGTGCCTGCCAATTAAGTTGTCAAAATCTCAAACTGGAGCGATAGAGAAAAATGTACCTCTCGATGAGGAATCATTTCGTATACTATTAATTGTCACTGTCTGTTGTTCGCCCCGGCCGGTAGTCAGACGTGGCAAGCAGCTTGACCATATGGTGTGCAGTTTATCGGTGATTTAACAAAGTTGAATGGCAGATTTTGAAAAATAAGGCAAAAATCCATGTCGTCATCTTTAATTTTCTAATTTTACTGACCGTCAGTCTATCGTATTTCAAACAAAACAAAAAGTATAAAGCATAGTTAAATTTCATACCACTTCTTGTTCCCTTGCAAAGTGAATGATGACACTAAATTCCCTGCGTTTTGATTTAACTCAAATTCATTTCTTAACAACGATGTAACATGTATTTTACATACAAAAACAGTCTTATAAAAAAGTAAATATGAACATTTTAGTGAAGGGGAAAACTAGGAACCGGACCGAAAACTACTACTTGTTTTCAGACAGAACAGTATAGACGCCCCGTAATGTTGAACTCCTACAAATGTGTTATACCAAACAGAGCACGTAACATGCACCTTGTGCTATATGAAGTCCACAAATTCATTTGTCACTTTAATTGACATATATTAAACATGTAGATTTTTCCTCGTGTGACTTGACTTTCACGGGCCACGGTTTGGTAACCTTTCCGCATTTATGTAACGGTCCGTTTAAAACGCGCGACTTCACACATGAAAGTCAAATAAAAGCGTGCGAGAATCTGAGAATCCGCGTGAGTTGGGGTTAACCTTTTAGCAATGAGGGTGAAACTCTATGCGCCGGAAATGTCGTCTCAGAGAACAATACAAAAGTTTTACTGGTGGACAAAAGACTGTTGTTTACATAAGTTAAAAGGAACAACCAAAATTAAATTTTGTTAGCTTTTATTTGTTGCAGCACCGCACTCGCTAGCCTGCCCTTATATTTGGCCTCGTTCCCCACCAAATCTAGTTATATCTCGTTGAATTTTGTTGTTTTTAAGTTGCGAGACTTTAGGCCATCTCAGTTGATTTCTTCTAATGAGTTTTGTCATGACTTCTAGCTTACTATCTTTTGAAAAATCTGTGTAGACCGATTAAACTGCTGTGGTGTCATTATCATTAAAGCAAGTGAGACCCTTTGTCTAGTCATGCAATTCAATATCTTTAATCACAGATCCTATTAAGATGTATTTACAGTGTACAATAAACAATAAGGTACAATGTACATGTATACACTTAAAGACAGCCGCACGCCATTTGATCTTCCTGGTGTCCTTAACAGGTATGAACTGTTGCTAACAGCACTGGAACCATTTTATTCTCGTTTGCTCTACCACAACGGGAGCATTTAAAGCGCGATCTCAGACCGTGAAGGATTTTATATCCATTGTTATTCATTAATCTATAGTTTTCAGCAGTCGGGTAAGTCGGTTAAACAAAAGAAATGCAGGTTCTTCCAAGATAAAAATCGAGAAAGCTTGTTAAACTATTCAAAGCTTGTTCAATATTTTACGGTTTTTGCTTAGCGTGCACCCTGAAATATATGACTGTGTTCATTTCAGAATCTCTCTTAATGTGTCCTTTACACCGGCAAACAAAACCGACTTATGTCTTTATTGCTTACCAGCGTGGCAAACGACAATAAAAAACATCCAAAAAACCAAGTTGCATTTTACCGGAGTATTTCACTGTGCCAGAACCCGCCGTATTGCAGATTAATTATCATTCATCAGGTATCTCCGAATATTGTTATCTATTATTTTCGTGGATTAAGAGGTTGTAAGAATATTCGTGACAAGTCTTTGCATGATTTCTGAGTGTGTGACCCATCTTCCCAAATGAACGATACACCGGCACATGAAACAAAAATTACCAGACCAAACGCAAACTCAGTAACTATTCACAAACTTGCGTATAGAATCAAATCGACCATTTACCTGAGCATCTTGTACGTATCACTTTCTCTCCAGGCAATGTCCGTGCGGTGCTCCTCCGCGACTGGCACTCCGGCAATTGACCTCCTCGCGGGGCTTTAACAGCGGCGTGTGTGACTGCCCGTCACTAGGCTAATACTTTATAAGTAAGAAAACGCACATAATTAAAGCCAACACGCAAAAAAGGTCGCCCAACGACGTGCTTTAGAGGCTTGTCATATTCGGCGTGTTACCGGCGTCTTGTTAATATATTTCGTGTCTGTGGTCCCTCTTTATCTGATAGAATTTTTGAGTGACCTCGTCAGGTAAACGTGCCCAGCAAAAACATCTTTTTGGTTGAATCTGCCAAATATGCACTCGTGTGTATTCATGTTAAGATGCTTCTTTAAACTCAATTATATTTGAAAAGATAACGTATGTACACAAAAAGTGATCAAACGGACCTATAACGAAACATTTATGCATTATTCTCACTCACCTGAGAAGTTTGTATATCCTACAAACGTTATACCTGGTATCTTTTTGAAGGGGGCCTTATATTAATGTTACAACAGACGTATAATTATCCAGTACCAAATCTTCTGTTACTCATAGAGGTTTGGTAGGCTGATGATAGAATATGTCGTCTTTTGGGCATCTAGAAAACTTAAGGCTTGGTGTTATCCTCCGTGCCATAAACCCCTGTGTAGACTTTATCAATGCACCCATGAAATATATGTGTCTATTAAGAAACTCATTTATATAACTCCGTGACCCGTGCTCATGCACAACTTGATCAGAATCTTTACTACGTGTAATTCAAATATATCATTTGACTTTCAGAGGTGGGCCACTAATCAATGTTATATTTACAGGTATATACAATTAATAAATAAACTAATAAATAGATAAATAAATAAATAAATAAAAAAAATATATTCAAGTAAATATTTATATAGTTATTCCTTATACATATATGTAAGAGCCACGAGACACGTGCGCTTACTCGTGTTGATGGAAATCTTTACTGTAATTTTCTTCGGGCGGGTGCCCAGATTACAGTAACCTCATATGCATATACGCACATCTGATCTCCCAAAATTATTTAACAAAACTTATGAAAGAGTTGAAATAACTTGAATCACCATAAAATACAATATAAGGAAGTTTTTAGGAGAGTTCACTACAATTCCCATAAATTGCAGACATGACACGCTGTTCTCGGGGAGACTTCAGAAATATTTATGGTATCACTATCTTCACTTAATCCTGTGCAAGTTTTTTCCCATATTTCAGTACCGCCCAGATTGATAAAAACATGCAAACAGTAGTATGAATATGTCATAAACTTATTTATGTATCCTAATGTTCACAAGCACAATGAATCTCTGTTTTTGCTCAAAGGTAAATAAGACTTAAGTCCACATTACTGAAAATTGTCATTTATTAGTGACGAAAAATAATATGTTACAAAAATGAGGGATAATCAGACATCCCCAATACTATATAACTATCATAATATATAATTACTAAAGTAGGTTAATTAGTGCAACCAACATTTATTAAGAAAAATAAGTGAAACAACAAAAGCTATTGGAGCAAAATGTTGGCACAAATGAAAATGACATACGCTTATTCTTATAAACCTTTACACCGATACCATTTTTTCCTGTTCAGCTGCCTGACTTAACAAGGCTACTCCCAGTTCGCACAGATAGAAAATAACAGTCCCAGACACTTGTAATATGGAAAATTAAATTAAGATTAATTCAGATTAAATTTGAATTTAATTTATATTAGAATCATAGAGTTGAATTATAATCCTGCCTGTGGGTCTTAGAGATACGTACACATGATCTTATCACAAGACTAACCATGTCATATGAATTGATATATATAGTAGATGCAACAAAGATCCTTTTTGACCACAACTTTTTTTTTTTACTTTTAATGTAAAGAATGTGTTTTTCTTCATATATTTTATGGTTGAACTTTTTCTAAACCACATTGGCTTTCATTAATTTATTGCCTTTTTTATCCCATCCAAGAATGCAGCTACTGTACATTTATCCAATATTTTAGTAAATGTTTTACTACACGCTATTAACAATACTATTTTCCATACTGTTTAGGTCATAATATACAGCACTTCTTCTCGCCTCTTTCAATAAGAACCATGACCTAGGACACTGTTAAACAAAAGCAATAAATATGAAATAATTATATGTTTTAAGCATTCAAAAAAGTCTTTGGTAACACCATCTGTATTCGAAGATTTGCTATCTTTCGTATCTTTTATCGCATTATCATATCCCTATGGCATCCTTTTGTATTTCCTTGACCTCAAAAGGTATGTGTAGTTGTTACAGTTTTCTGGTTATACAACTTTCGCAATACGTATCACGTGCATTGGATTTATTGGCATTATTATTATTATCATCATCATTGTTATTAATATTATAATTACTGTTATTATTTTTATTATGACATTCCGTATGCATTGTTGTACCGTACCGATGACAAAAATGTCACGGTGAAATACACTATCACTATCACATTACTTCGTTTCCGCTTCAGTTGTAACAACTTATGAACAATACTGATTCTTGTGGAAATATACGGCTATGTGTTTGATATACGAGTAATGTATAATAATAATAATAATAATGATAATAATAATAATTATTATTATTATTATCATCGTTGGTTACTGAGCATTTTTACATGTACGTCGGACCGGCTGTCGGACAACCGCAAATATAAGGCCCCACTATTGTTATAAGCTTTCTCATTTCTATTATTTTTGTGCGACCTTCCATGACTTGTGCATATAAACCATAATCACAATGCTGAAAAACACCTTGATATACTTTTTATTACTCAATTGGAAATGGATTCTGTGGGATTATTGGTTAAATTTGGATAAAAATGTCATAATTCGAACAATTTGGCTATTATATCGCATGAGTGGATAGTTTGTGTGGCAAGCCGACGAGATGCGCGACAAATCTACGTCCATAAATGACGCTTATCAACCATATATCAATATGTATATTTTTATATTACTCATCATGAACCAGAGATTGAACATTTTTACATTTACAAAATATATTAACGAATAATGAATAGTTATCCAGTAAATGTATCTCCTGGCTTGGTATATGATATACACATACAGACTTAATGACGAACTAATTACAAAACAAAAATTATTTCACAATCCACGTACTAGTACAGTGTTGCACTCATTGTGTGACTTATTGTAACAACTTACAACTTTTTTACATTTTGCAAGGCTTATTCCTGTTTTTATGGGCCAGTCCATTGTGCAAAGGAAACCAAGATGCCGAGAAATTTATAACATTAAAAATCTAAAACATAAAAACCAGAGTAAACGAGCTTTAAATATATATATGCCCTGACTGTTTGAGTAAATGGGTCTGAGAAAACTTCAAATGGCAGAGTTTGTGTGCACTAAGGCATTCCACTGAAAATTAGCAACATATGCTTATCTTATTTCTTTTAAAAAGAAATTAGGAAATCTGATGAAAAGACCGATTCTAAAGGCTTTTTCACCTCCGGCATGTCTCCTTCGAGATATAATCTTAACGTATGTAAAAGAGTGGGAAAGAGCAGAATTACGACTTTCTATCAGCAAACGTAGAGAGTACCACCTAGTTTTCCACAGTCAAGTTCATAAACTCCAAAGAGAAAAAAGTCACAGATCCTCTTTTATCCAGTCAAAAATAATAAATAATACTTATAATCATAATGTAATAATGATAATAAGGGGAGGGAAGGGGCGGGGAACGACAGGTCCTGCATTTTGAAGTGTTTTCAAATCCTTGCCTAAATCCAACAAAATGATAAGCGTGACGTTTCCCATCATTGCAACTGATTGACAGAGGTAGCTGTGCTAAGCAATCGCGAGTACTCGCAAAATACATAATATCAAGTATGTATTGCCATTTCCATAATAATTCTAAGTTTAACTTTTTTTTATTTCCTCTCTATTGAACATATAACACACAATAGATCCATTGACTTATGTGGATACATATCACAGTGTGTTTGACGTACATAGCTTGATGTGATCATCAATGGCTACTGAACAATTCCATAGAGCAATTTGCAGCCATGAAATTGGTACTCTGCCTATCATCAAATTTAAATTGCATCCCTAATTGGTTTGTTCAACAGGCTAATTTAGTAAATTACCCCTAATATTTGTTACTTTACTGCCGTATCAATTGTCCTTGGGCTATATGTCGTGTTACTACAATAAGGTAACTATAAACAGCATCTCTAAACAAGTTCCCATTCAATTGGGATTGGAGCCCGTGGTTTAATATGTGTTAAATATTGATTAACATTCGATAAAAATGTCATGGTTCGGACATTATGCATTTTATATCGCATGGGTAGTTATTTTCTGACACATCACGACGCGTTTCAAGATATATAACGACGCTTAATAGCCATTTATTAAGATTGTTTTTCTATCGAATGATATACAATTTGTTAACCCTTAAGGGAGACCTGGGGTCAAAACACACCACTTGAGTTTTGACAGTGTCAGAGAGCCGATCTAGTTTGAATGTTTCGTGTCTTTATTTCATATAATCATCCCTTAATTTTGACTTGTTGGCTGCACAAACATACTTATCGATTATACGTGAGGAATCCACACAGAAACCAATAGAAAGTTTATACTGATTTTGTGTACCTTACCTGATTTTGTGTACCTTGGAAATAAGATGCAGTGAAAGATTATTTTTCTTGTTATTCACAATTTGGATTTTAAAAAAATCAGAATGTGAGTTAATTATTAACTTGATCAGACAGTGGGGTAAAGCAATATATGTAGGCCTACAACATTTAAATGTTGTTATGTTGGCAACCCTGGTTTGATGAGCTAACGTTTTAATCTATTGAAAGACAACTAAGTGAAACACATGAAGGCATTTAACGTTTTCAACATTAATCTTCGGTAGTGTAGAAATTAAACATCTGTGGTAAATTCTAATTTGGAGATGACTGCAGTCGGATGTGTCACAATGTATGTTTTTATCAGGTATCTTTAAAGATATGGTAAACCACAATGGTTTCTTTTCCGTATCTTTTTATGTAAACGCCAACATATTTGGATAACTATTTACAAGTAGGCCTACGAATCCAGGGGCTTCAAGGTTCAAAAGACGTGGTGAAGAATGGGGTCCGCCCCCAGTAACCTTAAATTTTGATTTATCAAAATCTTCTTCTTCCAAAAATAGTGTTGGGACTTCATTTATCTTTATGATTTTTTTTAAGTATGAGTCATGGTTTGAGATGCATTGTAGCCATCCTGGATGGAAATCGTCTTAGGTTGCCTAGAACGAGACTGTCGGCACTTTCTGATGTCCATGAAGACGTGCTAGAATTCGCGATGAGGGTGAAACTGTAGGGGCCTACATGCCCCGCGAAAGTCGTTTAAGGAAGGAATGTAAAAGTGACACGCGAAAGATAGTGACTGATTGTGCAATAAAGTGTAATTTAACAGGACGCACACAAAAAAGCAGTTAATGTCACACGCAACTGATTAAGCAAAGTAGATTCAGGATTTCGATTGGTGGTGTTATTTTTAGGGTGGTGAATGAACATATTCCAGGGGCGGATTTAGGCCGTCTTCTGGGTCTTCCGGAAGACGGTCAGATTTTCAAGTTTACATTGACGGGTATCTGTTTTTTTCTGTCGGAAGACGGTCAGAAATGGAGGATGGATCAACAAAGATAATTTGGAAGACTGTCAGAAAATATCTCTGGATCCGCCCCTGTATTCGGAAATATAGGCCCCTACTTGTAGTTTTTTTTAAATACTTGAAGGCCTACATGTAGGCACGACACAGAAGTATTCGGCCGGTAACTGCCAAATAGAGAAAAAACTTCATCATTATTTTCATAACTATTGAAGTTTAAAACAGAAATTGAGATATAGGCCTTCTAAGTGGAAGGCACCGGTATAACTTTGATGATCCGATTGTTTGAAAAACCGTGTACCGGTAGGTTCTGCACATACAGCAGGGGCGTTAAATTGGGGGCGTCTCGATAGTCCGAAGGTTCATTGGTCCGAAAAGTGGTAACATTTTCATCTATTTTTTAATCAAGGGTTCATTGGTCCGAAGGTTCTATAGTGAATATTCGGACCAATGAACCTTCGGACTATTGAACCTTCGGACTATTGGGGGCCGTAGCGATAGTCCGAAGCTTCAATAGTCCGAAGGTTCATTGGTCCGAATGTTCACTATAGCACCTTCGGACCAATGAACCCTTGATTAAAAAATAGATAAAAATGTTACTACTTTTCGGACCAATGAACCTTCGGACTATCGAGACGCCCCCAAAATGCCAACGTCAACAATTGTCGACTTTATATAAATCCTGTCATTGAAAACACTGTAGGCCCTATATCGAAACACAGTTTCCTATCATTTTTGCCATCTCTACATCATTGCAAGCTTCCATGTATGCATGGTAGGGCCTACAACATGTAAAGGTATATTAAAGGGGTCTATTTGATATGATGGTGTTAAATTAGATATTAAATTCTAATTAATGTGATCAATTAGTAAAACTAGGCTATTTACATGTAGATATTAAATGCTAACTTTTTATTACTGTAGGCCTACCCCTACTTGATTCTCTTTGAAATGAAAATTTAGAAATTGTCCCTACATGTAAGACTGTCGCCTCTTGAAGATTTCAGAAGTAAATAGGCCCCTATCGATCAGGTACTTTCATATGAGGGGGTTTATAGTTTTAACGGCTGAAAGATATGAAATGTCGGATACAGGTAGCCTAAGTAGCTGAAATAGAGAAATATAGGCCTAAATGATGCATTTTCAAACCCGTATGGCATACATTGTATAAAACTACCAGTAGGCTACTTGTAGCAAAAATCTAGAAAAGGCTTTTCAGCATGTATCGCAAACACGACATTCATTCGTTAGCACTCCTATTTACAGTCCGTTTATTAGATCTTAGTTACAGTGGATTATCGGTTTTTGTAGCGAACACATTGGCCCTATATTGTAGGCCTATCAGAAGGAAATTAGTGCTAGATTAGCAGTAAAATTACTCAATTAATCTCACATTAAAATCAATAGTAATTCATTGTGATAAGATAATTTATGCATTGTTTGATGTCTGAGACTATTGTATAATTAGCATGACACTAAAATAATACGAAATTTATTTCCCAAAGTTCGCAACTATTTCACAAAGTAAGGCTAAGTCAGTGTTCTACATTTCCGCCTACTTCCGGTTATATGTCCTGTGATTTTTATGGCATAGGGACAGTCGGGCAACAAAATACAACAAACATATATGAAGCCATGCTTTCAACAGTAAAATGAGTGTCCGTGGATGTTGGGTGATATCAGTAGATAGTGGGGAAGATGGAAGATCAACTGGAAAGACGTTGTTTTCGAGGTAAACATGACTTTTCAATACTGTGCTTAAGGCCCATGATAACAGCTACCTGTACCCCAGTAGTATTTAGTAGTTGAAGGACTGCATTTGCTGGCTAATTATTTTTATGTGTTTATTTGCGGTGACCCCTCTTCCTGGTTTGCTGAAAATAATACACGTATCTGTACGTTGTTCTTATTTGACACTCATCTGTTTGAGGGGGGGGGGGGGGGGGGGATGCATCAGTTTTCGGTTTTACCAGTGCATGTTATGCAGGTAAGGGCTCGTTCAGTCCGGTGTTAGAAAGGCTACAGACTTTATGTAATGTCACTTAAAATGTGTATGTGGTAGTACGTGGATAAATACTTGGCATTTTATTTGTCTAAGATAGATGGAATAAAAAAGACTAAAACATTATCAAGTGGTATGTGAACCAATACAAAAGATCCCTGAATGTGAATTATACATGTATACTACAAGATGCGAGGGAGAACACATAGTGCATTTTGCCAGGACATAGATATTAATAGACCCGAAAGTTTGTAACAGAGGTTGGAATGGGGCCTTACCTACAGTAAGTACCTGCATTGTACATTGTAGCAGGTAAGGCTGAAAAACTGAGGCAAGGGGGGGATCTATTAATGATCTTTCTCTGCCAAAATGTATATATTGCCAAAAGAAGTACTAGAATATCTTAGATATAAAGGCCTATTCTCCTATATATCTGCCAAATAAAATGTAACTTTGTTAAAATTATTTTCAAAATAAAGGGACACAAATAATTATTTGAAGTTCAAAAGACAAATTTGATAGATATGATGACTTTCTTATCTTGGTATGATACATGAGTACCTTGGTGTGGGTAAGAAACAAGGCCCTAAACTAAGACAAGGGGGAGGGGATCTGGGTATTTTAATTTTTTTTATTACAGTGTTATGGTATAATACTTACTGGTATGTCATAAGTGCTGAATAAAAATATGTATAATCAAGCTGATAATAAAGGATATATAACTTGGAAAAATTAAGTTTTAAAGGTATACAACCAAATAATGAGTTGTTCTGAAATTGCCATGCTATAACAATATTTTAATAAATTTTACAGAATATTCCCGAGTGTAGAAAAGAGGGCCAAGCTGTGTGCTAATAGTGACCATTATGTTCCTTTGCCAGATACACAGGTTTTCCTGGAAGATCTTCTCAATGAGCTTGGGATCCAATTAACTATTAAAAAGGTTCTATGTTATTTTATAAATATGTGACACATGTTTCTCTCTACACACACACAAATACACACAAACACACACATACACACACACACACACACACACACACACACACACACACACACACACACACACACACACACACACGTATACATGCACCCACATGTAAACTTTAACGCAATTTTTCTATAAAAAGCATGTGCATAAGCTCAAAACTTAGGTTATGGTAATGATATATTATTATTATTATTATTATTATTATTATTATTATTATTATTATTATTCAGTTAATATAATATAAAAGTACAGATGAAAATGATTTCTGTCTCAAGCTAGTTAAAGGATGATATTATAACAATGAATTACTAACATGCATGTACATTAGAATTATGAGCTGGAATTGAAACATGATTTTGCTTATAGGGTTAATATAATGAAATGGTGGTAAGAAGCAAGAAAAAAGTCAGAGCTAGATTTTTCAAAAGCAAATATGATTCAATTTATTTGTGTGTATTAGCATCATCCATAGTTTTCTCCAAATTATTCAGACCTTGCATAGCTGAAAATACCACCCTTATCCTCTTGAATCTCTTAGATCCATTGCTTTTTTTAAAAGAAATGACATTTTGACAATGTGAATAAAACATAATGACAAATTCTGTCATTGTGTTTCAGTTTATTGGATCAAGAGACAGCTGCAAGAAAGTTGACCAAAAGCCAGTCTTTGGAGTTCATACCGCTGCTGGGGTCATATGGCCAGTATTAGTATTGGAGCAGGTATGTACTAGTAATGAATAGATTTTTAGAAATTAATTGAGTTTGTTTCTTGCAAAAATCATCTTGGAATTTTTCATATCTAGAGAGGCAGCAGTGCTCTTTTGTTGTTGTTTTGTGAAAAGCAATCTGGTGAGAAGGTTTTGAGTTGAGTTTTTGACCTCAAGAGGTGGCATATATTATGTAATTTCGTATTAAGCTGATATATTAAAAAGAAAGCAAATGCTGTCATTTTTATGCTAATCATTCAGTTTTTCTTTTTCATAATTTTTTTATTAAGGCTGGTTTGTTGTACTGTTGTGTGCCCCTTGTAGAAGTTGTTGGATCTTCTTCCCAAGTTTCTTTGATTCAAATGTAAGTAATGAGATATGTTATATAGATGATATTTGATACAATAGAAATAGATAGTGAAAGTTGTCTAATTCCTAAAACTTGCTTGCTGTAGTGCATGTCTATCTGTAAGTCAATATGCAGCTTTGGCAATATCAAAAAAAGGCATGGAAATATAAAGGTTATGATCATGATAAGACATATTTTTTCTAAAAGAAAATTTCTGAACATCTTAAAGAAAATTCAACTTCAGGTTTCTTTTTAAAGATTCATATAAAGTTAATGTTGATTCTAAACCACTTTTTCTAATTTCTTATACGACTAGAATAAAGTAGACATCCCAAGTCATAAATAAAATTTATCTCTCATTCATCCAAAAAATAACTTTAAAACTGCACTTCTTCAAATTTTGGCTGTTAATTGCCCTATTTATCTTACCCTCCAGTTCATAAAGATCCACTAAACAACGTAGTACTGTGCATGCATTGAATAATCATCACTTTCACTCCCATACGCGCAACCTATACAAATGAGGGATATTTAGAGCACAGAAAGCAAGAAGAAAATATCAGTTCAAATACCATTTTTTTGGGAAAAAATGAAACAGCGTCCTGAGCTATTTCTCTCAGTTACCAGACTATTATTTGCAACTGTGGTGGCATTGGGTCAGGTTCTTTGGCAAAAATTTGACTTAAAATGCATCTTTAAAACAGTTATTCATGGTCAGTATTATTTTAGAAACTTGCAAGACAGATTTTTGTTGTTTTAGTCCAGGTATTGCCGCTGGCTACAGTTTGCTTCTTGGAATAGCTGATTTTGTAGGCAAACCACAAGGAGAGGTCCTCAGTGAGGTAGGCATACTGGTTTGTGTAGTGTCAAAGAATTCAAATCCACTTGACATATTCAGTTAACTTCTGCATAGATTATATATGAATTTACATTTTAGAGGTTCACACCAGTTATGAAGTAAATTATTTAGACTAAAACAAATGTGTAAAGCCAGTAAAGCTATCAAAGTTTAGTACTACTAATTGTTCTAGAAAGCAAAAGTTTTATTTAGGTCTTCAGTATTCAACTCTTCTCATATGCTTTGTTATGTATAATATTTTGAAGAAAATTTTCATAAGCTGGGTAATGTAAGAAGAATGAAGTAATTTTTGTTCAGTGAACAGCTAATATTGAAATTGTTTACTTCCAATATTTTGATGTCTGTCTATAGTATCTTCATCAGGAAATGAGGCTATCTAGGCGAATAGCCTCTATACAGGAGATTATACTCCCCCCATCTACTGCCTTAAGAAAGGCAGGTATAGGTCAAGGAGGTCAGATGGGCCATCATTCTGTTGATACAGCCTAGGTCCCTGTCTTCTTTATGTAAATGGCTTCCAGGACTATCCTATAGATTTCTCTTGGTTCACTATCAATCACTTTGATTTATTCATGAATCTAGATAGCCTCATTTCCCAATGAAGATGTTCAAGACAGATACCAAGAAAAATTACTTTATTTGTATTTATAAATACTTTACTTTTTACCTAGGATTTTCTTCGCTGTCAGGTATTTTTTGTTGTTGATTACCCAGTGATGATTTCAACATTCTTTTTTTTCCAACATTTATTTTTCCTAGACCTCCAGTGTGATAGCAGACTTGTACCTGTACCTGAGTTGTGCAGCACCATTTGGTACACCCCAAAATGTACAGCCAGACATTGTACGCACTACGCTACAGGCCAAAAACACCCCAGTGCCAAAAGATAAGGTACATCAGGATAATTATAGGAGGGTACATTGCACGCCTGTAAATGATATATCAGGCCCGTAGCCAGCAATTGCAAAAGGGGGGTTCTTTTTCTAAAAATATGGACCTTTTGTAATGAAACCTTAGTTTTAATTTTACCTAGATCAAATTTACCCAAAGTGGACCTTTTTCCAGCAAAAAATTTTTTTTTAAATCCCCTGAACGACTACAGGCCTGTATAAACATGTGCATATAATGACATATTATCATATATTATGTATTATATTTGTATATATTCGGCATTATCACGAAAATAAAATCAATTTAACTATCATATTTATATCTGCTAATACATACAGCACTGTGTTTACATTGTTCAGCTGACATACAAAAGGCAGTCATTCGTGGATGCAAATACAATATTAACTTGCAAAATGGTTAATGGGTTGTGCAAATTTGGTCAAATTGCTCCCAAGAGTTATGATTCATCTTGCTTAAAGAATGTGACATATTCATCAAATTGCAATCACCAGTATACATTATTGATATTATCAAGGGAGATATCATTTGAGTGGGTCCAGACAGGGGTAATGAATGTTGAGAAAATGAACATTATGGCAAAATATACATAAACATATACATTAGGAGTGTACATTACTTTCTGAAATAAGTTTATGGTTGCAGATAAGTATATACCAGGAAGACCACAAGCATATGAACATATTATGCAAATTTGCATCATTCTGGATATCATTACCACAATAGGGGCAGTTTAGGTCATTGTTGGCAGTAATATTTTACAAATGTACCTAGTATAGCAGTTATATTACAGACAACCTGGTGATTTGGCACTCTTCTTGGTGTTTTTTTTTTTTTTTTTTTTTTAATTTTTTTTAATAAGCAAGTATTGATATTTTAGTGGTCTTCTTTTGCCATGTTGCATGTACAAGAATGCATATGCTATGTGTGTGAGTTAATGCCAAAATTCCCCTTGACTCCAGCCATATTCAAAGCTTCTCTAATAAGAAGCACATAAGTCATAACTGACATCATCAGTAACCCTTATCACACCTTTTAGAATCATATCCTGCATCTTATGACATTTAGATAATTTTAGGGTGAAGTTTTACATATTAGTGTTTTTATACTTTTAGCTTTAGACTACTAGTACTAGTAAGTGTTAGCATTTCATCTGGTATGCCACTATGAACTGGATTGAATTTTGAAGTTATTTGTCATGCTTATCATTGAAAGCAATTAGTAGAAAGTAGAGATTCTTCTTCAAGTTTACATTTGTTATTTTAGTTATCATGGCAGATTTGGAAAAAATAGCTGTAGTGATAAGTAAATTGCATTCCATGATAATAGCCTAGTCTCTTTATGGTGGCACCCCGTCTTCCTTGTACCGGGAACTTTTCTACCATACTTATTAAATTGAAATGTTGCATGCAAAGGACCATATCACAGCAGGGTGTGAGTAAAAGACGCCTTTACTGCGAAATGAGCATATGGATACACTATTACGTGAGGCACTAGAACAGGCATGTGCTTTGTTAAAACTAAGGCAGGACTGTTTTACAGTCTTCCACAGCACATCAATTATCAATTTATGAAGTTTGCAATAAAAAAGTGTCCCACAGTCAGAAAAAAATTCTGATCATCTCCTGTGATTTCAGTCATTGTTTATATGCAGAAATTATTAGATAATAATATGAACTTGTCATTTTTCTATTCTTGATTTTTTTCATGTGACAGCAACCTGCGTGGAGGCCAGTTGCTTACAAAGGAAAACCCAACATTTATTTTGCAATTACTGAGCAAATAAAGGCAGTGCAAGTGAGTTTTTTTAATCTACGTATTTGATGTTCAGCAGATATGCTTTTAAAAATTTTGATAAAGACATACATGTATTTAAACATCTATATAAAACATACTTACTGAGTAGCTCTGTATATACATGTAATAAATTTAAAGGAGATAAGACCAAAAGATGGCAAGTGTGGAAAAGTAAAAAGTATGCCTTGAAGCAACCAGTCAGCATATGCTAACCTCTTCATTTTAATATTTTTAAATTTATTATAAACCTATTAGAAACCAAAAAGCATGGAATTAAGTCTTCACTCCCCTAGACTCCTTAAATGAGGATATTGACCCATTTTGCAAAGAGTAAGAAACATTTGTTTGGAGTTAAAACCAACTTCCGAAATTCAGGGAAAAGATATCCAGGCAATCCAAAGGTTACTTATCCTCAACCAATGTCACAGGTTGATTTTTCACATGATATTCACAGATATGTCTCTGGCTAATTCATTACACAATTAATCTGCGCCTATGTTTGGTCGAGAGTGGTCTTTATCTAAATATGTTTTTCAGGAATAGACTGTGCTGTGCATCTCTAATTTCTGATATTTCGTATTTCAGTATGACAGCTCTAGTATCAAAGATGTGTGGGATTTATATGGCACAGTCACATGTATGGCAGAGCTAGAGGGGATCAAACCTGAAGTCAGCGTTCCTTTCACTTGGACAGATAATGGACAAAGTCCTACACTGAACAAGTTCCTTTTTCATCATTCTGTACAGTCAAGCACAATAGGTAGGTAAAAAAAACATTCACAGTGATCCACTTTCAAGATGACTGGTGCAAAATCTGTGTTTCATGGCATTTGGTCCTATGAAAATTGTGCTTTTGGAAAAAAAAATACAAATCACAGCCGTCTTTAGTACATGTATATTTTGTGTATAGATGCATCTTTATGTGCACAGGTATGCGAATCATTAAATGGCCCACCTTACTCCCCATTAATGCAGTGTTATATGGCTGCAAATGGACCAGGTCAGAGGAACAATGGAATAGGTGCTCTTATGCATTGTCGGTTCCCAAAGTTAGGCTTGAAAAGTATTATCGTTTTTTTTTTTCAAAGATACCACTCAACCAAGATGTTTCTCAATAAAACAAGTGCAGAAACACACACACAAAACACAGAACAGACAATAGTTCATTCTATTATGGTCATATTTGGTATCTTATTAAGATGTTAACGTCCTGAAGTGGTGCCAGTTCAGACATATTAACCCTATAATCTGCTCAAGTTATATTTGCATTCAGTGGATACCGAAAATTTCAACAACGGATTGTTATAAGTGTGCAAATGGGCACTTTTATGACCATTGTGCTTTGTCTGCACAAAAATAAGGTATTTCATCACCCATAAGAATCTTTAATTCCCTCATTAAGTAGTTTGAGCATCTGTTGACATGCATAGGGCTATTTTTGTTTTGGGAAATCTCGATTCTCATGCAAGTGGGTCAACTCGCCTCCATACTACCTATCTCTGTGGGCCATCTGATTTAGTTAAACTTGGTGAAAATATCAGCATTCTGTATATGGTATTATTATTGTGGTTCACAGCCTTTGTAAAAATGCATGAGAACCAATAAAGATTGTTTGAAAGGGGCAGCCAATATCATTTTTCTGTGTGTACCCTGGAGACAGTGGTACGGATGGCAGTGGGCAAGAGACAGAGAATTGCGTTTGCAGCCTATGTTGAGCTTGGTTTTCTCATACTGACAGCATAAATGTACTGGCAAGGGTCCACTTATATGCTGTGAAAATAATATTTCATATTTTAAAGTATTAAAAAGGATGCTCACAATGAAAGATTGTGATAGTTTTTAAATTTTATTTGAAACCTTTGCCATTATCCATAACATTGATTACTCTTACACATGACGCTGATTACATTTTTTCTTAGGTAAGTTCTGCCCGCTGTCTGTGTTATGGTTGCATTGTATAAACATGATTTGAGTCTGTTTTTCAACTTTGCCATAAACTGGCTTAATTATAATAAACCTTTATTTTTGACAGGCGGGTCGGAATGCAGGCTCGAGTTCTTCCCTCCCCCTGAAATGTTTGTCTTGTGTCAGTATACTGCTTCCGGGATAGATCTACCCATAAAAGGCTTTTACCAGATGAAGGTATTTATTTGTTATTTATGTATCACATCCTTGTTGTTGTGCAAAAAATGATTTGGAACACTCTCACTGCCTAATCTTCATTTGAGAATGAGGGATATTAGTTTTGAAATGTTTTGAAAAGTGCACAGTTAATGGTTAAAAAGAGAAAGAAAGAAGGAAAGATTAATAAAAGAGTGAATAAGACACACATACACATACACATATATATGATATATATGAAGTTTTACATTTACTCTGTTGTATATATGTATATACCTATCCATTTGTTTTATTTATTTACTTATTTAATTTAATTTTGTGGAGAGCATATAATGCTTCCAGCGCCTTGCCTCCACTTCATTCTTTTGAATAAACGTTGTTTAAAAAAAATACACATACACATCTGAATGTCTAGAGTAAGTTCAAAAGAGAGCCTTGAGGATTATTCGCCCTGGTCACAGTTATGATGATGCCTTAAAAGTTTGTAAAATTGACACCCTAGACAAACGTAGACATTTGCTGTGTCAGAGGTTTTATACAAAATTATAAAATTGTGAAAAGTTGGGTCATTTATTGCTCAAACACTTGTCCTTTACAAAACAACACCAAATTTTTACAACCAAAAGTGAAAAACAGAAAAATTCCTTTATTAATTATTGCCTCTTTAATTTGTAGTCATTTATGAACACCTTTTTATGAATTTGTAGTATTTTAGGAATAATTTATTGTTTTATAATTTAAAGTTAATTGTCAATTTTCTCTTAAACATACTTTGTACAACTTCAACCTTAGGGTTGCAATTTCACCTAATAAATTATTGTTATTAATATTATTATTATCATTATTTTTATTATTATTATTATATTGTTATGCACACAGGTTTTTTTCAGTGTCATTGAAATCTATAAGGTCTTTCAGCTTAAAAAACAGTTTCTTTTTGTTTTATTCTTTAATTTAGCTCAATATTATATATATTTTGTAGCAGGTAATGTCTTGATTTTTTTCATTAGGGAGATTTGTTTAAAGCTGATTTGCTGCTGCAGCTAAAACTTAAAGAACATGTCAAGAATACATTCCAGTACTGTTTTGTTCAACTTCCATTTTATAATAGGTATGTACTAGTGTTGTGTGTTAACTAACCATAGGGAGACAACTTTATCCCTCATTTTTTTCAGTATTTATTATTCTTAATTAATTAGTTGTTTTCTGAAAATTAAGTATTTGGTGATAGATTGCAGTATGTGTGTCTTTGCCAGCAATGGAGCTTGATTATCAAAAAGTGCCGTGAGCTGCTGAGACTGTAGGACAAGTTGTTAATAAGAAAAAGCCTAACAACAAGACTGCTCAAGCACTCAGTTGCTTGGGAATATTTCCTAAATTAGAGGTAAATTTCATTAATGAGTCATTTTTGTCGTTTCATTTCCTTTCAACTTTTTAAAAAACTTTGTCATTTTTCATGCCTTGTTTTTATTCTTCAGCATTTTTTATGTACAGACACAGATGTATCTGGACATATAGCCCTCACCTGTGTCTGTCATCGCTGTCGTTGCCGTTACCGTGCACTTTCACCAATAACACAATAAGTGGAAAACCCATTAACCTTTTAGCTTTATACTTACAATACTAATGAATATTCATAATACACAGGAGTTTGAAAATCAGCATGATCAGGCCTCTTTTTTTCAAGTTGTACAGTTTTTTGTTATATTTTAATTTTTCGCATATTAGGATTTAAGGTGTGACTTTGAACTGTCATGGGCTTGAAGACCTTTGTTTATCACATTTTTGAATATCCATGATACTTTAATTTTATTATTAAAAATTGATAGTCAATATACTGTTAAGCATTATGTAATATTGTTTCAAAATTGAAGAAAAACCTACTTCGTGCACTGCCACCACAAACGTTATGAAAAGAAAACTGTGTTACTTATAATTTTTTAAACTTACGAGAATGATTCTAAAGATTGACATATAGCTCAAATTAGAAAACCAGCTTATGCAAATTTTTGTGAATTTTTCTTTTTTTCTAATTCTGGCATTTTGTAAGTGTGAACTAGAACTGAACGGTAATCAAATTTTCTAAATGTCCATGTTATTTATAGTAGATAATTAAAAATTGGTGGTAATAATACTGTTAATCAATACATATTATTGCATCAAAATTGACAAAAAAAAAAAAAAAAAAAAAAAAAAAAAAAAAAAAAAACTAAACTACTTTGTGCACTGCCACAACAAACGTTATGAAAAGAAAACTGTGTTGCTTATAATTTTTTAACTTACAAGAATGATTCTTAGGATTGACATATGGTTCAAATTAGAAAACCAGCTAATGAATTTTTTTGTGAAATTTTCATTTTTTTTTTCCTTCTGGCATTTTCTGAGTGTGAACTTGAACTCTCATGGGCCTGAAGCCTTATGCTTTTACTTACATCAGTATTACCTGTTTTGCTTAATTAAATTTTGATGTTGATTTTACAGTTAAGCATAATGTATTGTTGCGTCAGAATTGATAGTATCCTGTTTTATGTATTATTTTTTCTGTTTTGGTGCCTTGTGGAATATAGTAACGTTCCATTAAAGTATGTAGTGCATTTTTTTGGTTGATGTTTCTTTACCAGTGGTGAAATACATTAAGGATTAAAAATCATTAAGTTAATTTTTCTTTTCACACATAATACTTAATTTTCATACCTTTCTTCAAGAGCTTTTTTCAATGAACCTCCTCACTGCCAACATCTTTCTTGCCCTTGTGTGGATTTTTCTGAGCAGAAGGGCTACTGTTTTCTTTTTACCTGTCAGAACCATGCTCACCAGACTTCTCCTGCGGCTCAATCTTAGAGCAATTGTTACATCTGTGCCTTAGTTATGCTTCTTTATTCATGAGTAACTTGCAAGATTTTTTGAAACAGTACTGGAGATGAAAGCTGACAATTTCGGATGAGGTTGTCCAAAATTTAAATACAGAACTCAAAAAAACATCTTATTTTCTAAACGGTTCTGGATAGGGTATACCTTGGTCATTATGACAAAACTCTTGAAGTTTCTTGAAAAATGAATTTTTTATTTTGCCATATTAAGCTCTTAGTGCACATTGTTTGTCTTTAAAATATATGTAATCATTGTCAGTTTTCAAAACCCATCAAATGTTTTAATCTTTTACAGAATGATGTTCCACACAGTCCATAAATGAAAAAATTAATTGACGAGTTGAGACTTGTTAAAAAAAATCCCATTGGTTTTATCCAGTGTCCAATGTGTACAATGCTCTCAAACAGTCTAGGTATCTGCTCTACAAGAACAAAAGTGGAGGATGTAAAACTAATAGGTAGCACAGCTAGTACATAAAATGTTATCAGTAACACCACCATTTTTACTATCTGGCTACAGTGATCACAACTGTTCATTGTCAGTCGCATTTTAGCTTGTCTCCTCAAGGACTTAATAAGCTTCATGTAAAGATTGAGCATGAATCCAGTTAGTAAAGTGTTGATAATGAAAGGAAACACCCTGCGGTAAATAATCTTGTAAACAATTGCCCAGTCCTTGAATTGAAAAGTTAGGCAGAAGTCATTCGAGCTGTGTTCACAAGGAAGAAATCCAATGAATTTAGTATCGAAAAACATTGGAAGTTGATACAAAGCGATCACTGTCAGTAATACATAGGTCCGCCATCGCCATTTTGTTACCTTTCGAAACTCGATGCTTTTTGTAGGTTTGGTAATTGCAAGATAACGGTCGAATGCCACAAAAACTAGCAGACAGTGGGAAGAAAGTCTTGCAAACAGCATGATTGGCCAAATATAAACAGTGGTCGTCTGCATTGCAACAAAGAACCAGTCAATCCATCCCAAATAAACATGCAGAGCAGGTAGATTGATGGAAAATATTGCTGTGATTAAAAAGATGTTATCCATGATGGCAGTCCAGGATAGTAGATAATCAGTGGATGCATTTGCTCTCTCCTTGTAAAATACTATAAAAGACAGAGTGTTACAAATTATTCCCAGTAGGCTGACGACCAGTGATGCAAATCCTAGAACAACAGTGAGGTACAAGTTTAAGGCTGTTTGGTGAGAGGTGGTGCTGCTCACCAGTGTACTGTTCAACATATTTGTTGTTGAATTCAATTCATCGAATTTGTCAGAAAAAGCTTCCATAATGCCTCAATGTGTAGTTGAAAATAAGATATTGAACAAATAAGAGCCTGTTTGAATGGTGACGATACTCATGAAGTCATGCCTTTATATCACAGAATTTGGCCTGGTCCATAACCAATCAGAGAACAGAATGATCCTTATTTGATTTTGACAGTAACAAGGATCCAATTTCGCTTGACACATGCATGGATGATAGGATATAAAGTGATATAGAAGCAGACAATGACAATGGAAATGTGGAAGAGTAACAAAATCTCAGCTTTAACCAGCGTGACAAAGGACCATGCACAGAATAATGAAAATGAAGAAAATATGTAATGAAAAGGAGTGTGTCTTATTGAAACAATAAAGAAATGGATACCCGGTCTATTCGTGTCACCTTATTGACTGAAGAAAAACTCTTTTGTTCTACCATCACTTTAGTTCTATTCATACCTTTTGAGAAAGCTGATTTCAGAAACAATATATGGATCCACCTCCTCTTTTTTTCTAAAAATATGTTGTTGTGCAACTGAAGTTAAATAAGGATAAACACTGACTCATCAACTTTGATTTTATTGTAACATTTACAAAGTTGACATTTAAGATAGGAAATTTGCCAAATGTTTTCCTTTGATTATTTCTTATTTTTCCTTGTTATAAATGAAAACGAAGACTAAAAAAATTGTTTTGATCACATATAATGACATCTTCAGTGTCATTGTGACAGAATTCCTCAATCCAATTCATCAGTACAGCATCACTAAATACATGGTTTATCTTAAAAAAAAAATAGCCACTCAATGCAGTATTGATATATGCATATTTTCCAAATTATTACATATTAAAGTGTGACACGCCCCACAAAAGAAAATAATTTCAATTTGTAGTCACAGCAGTGGTCACTGTGACCTTCTCTTGCTGCTACCACAGCTGTCAAGAGGGAGGGGTGGCAGTTTCTTAGAATTTGGTTTGAAAGAACATAGTCATTCCAAGCATTGTTCAAAACTTGTCTGAGTTGGTTGTCAGGTAGTCTGCGACATTAACCACTGGCCTGACTGCCAATTCCAGTAAAAAATCAAACCTTGCCAATGAAATTTCTTGAAAACAGTCAGTTACTGGCATATGACCAGGCTAGTGGCTTTTTTCAACTGTAACATGTAGTCCATTTCATTTGATAAATGTTCAAACCAAATATTAAAATCTTTTAATTTTAAGAAACTTAAAAAAATGTTTTTGTTTATATTTGTAATAGGAAGCCTGTTTAATCTCAGCGTGTTAATTTATGAATTTTTTTTTTTTTTTTTTTTTTTGAAAAAATTGGACTTGGGCAAGTGAATTTTGGTTTGGGCCAGTAGATTGTCTGACCCTGGTGGCCCAGATGGCCTGTTAGTTGAAAAGTATTTGGCACAGACTGCATAGGACCATAGACATGATACAGTAATAAATGCCCATAGATTTTTTTATGGGGTTCAGATCCAGTAATCTTGATGGCTAGGGTAGTTGCCCAGTCCCTAGTGCTCTGTTGTGCTGGGCATTGTCATCTTGCAAAATACCAGTGTTCTTTAGGTGCCCTGTGACAATTGGGAGGCAGGTGATTTCCAGAATCTTAATGTATTTGATGTGGTTTAGGTTTCCATCAATGACTACTAATGTCTTTTTATGTAGAGACATAAATGTGTCTGTACATATAGTCGTCACCTGTGTCTGTCATCGCCGTCGTTGCTGTGCATTTTCAGTGATAACACGATAAGTAAAAAAACATTTTACCTTTTATCTTCAAACTTACAGAACTGATGAATATTGACAAAATGCAGGTCAAATTCTAAAATGAGTATGATCGGGCCTATTTATTTAAAGGTTATGCTGTTTTTTTCCTATTTTTTCAGCTTATATGCAACACTGCAACACATTTGAAGGAAAACCGAGAGGCCTATTGTCTTGATACTCACAGGAATGATCAGTCTTGCTAAAATACAGGTTGAGTTCAAAAATCAGCATGATCAGGCCATTTTTTCAAAAGTTGTACTGCTTTTTGGATTTTTTAAGCATATATGCAACACGGAAAACCCATAGGCCTATTGTCTTGAAACTCACAAGAGTGATCAATTTACAGATCAAGTTCAAAAATAAGCTTGATTGGTTCAGTTTTGATGAAGTTATGCCTTTTGGTATATAAGTGGTTTTATTTTTTTCATATTCAATTTTTAGGCATGTTAACAGTCTCATAATTGACCTTATTAGATATGTAAAAGTGTTCTTATGACATTTTCTGCATTTTATCAATATTGTTATTTGATTACATAAAAATGAAAAGAAAACCATGTTTCTTATGATTGTCAAACTTAGTTGGAAAAGCAGTCTAAGTGGGCTCTTTTTCTGGAAGTTATACATTTTTTGTGAAATTTTCACTTTTTACATGTTGGCATTTTCATTGTGGGACTTGAAACTCCCATGAGCATTAAGCTGAATCATGGTAATCAAATTTTCTAAATGTCCATGTTATGTATAGTAGATAGTTAAAAATTGGTGGTAATTATCATTGTTAATCATTATGTAATATTGCATCAAAATTGACAAAAACTACTTTGTGCACTACCACCACAAATGTTATAAAAAGAAAACTGTGTTACTTATTATTTTTTAACTTACAAGAATGATTTGTAGGATTGACATACATATACAGCTCAAATTAGAAAAACAGCTCTATTGGATTCTTATTATTTCTTGAATTTATGCAATTTTTTGTGAAATTTTCATTTGTATTAAGGGGAAATTGTTTCCTAACAACTTGAGACTATCCTTTTTTACTTGCACAGGTAAAAAGGGGAGTCCACATGCTTGGAATATCTTTACTGTACAGGTGCTTGATCATCCTTCTTGCATTTCCACACGTACCAGTATCACTATTGTCAGACAGCTTTCACAATATATGGTGCCCCATTTGTATGACATGACAGCTTGACATGTAACTACCAAACCATATTTTTGTTTAACTTCAAATTTACTGAGTGGCTTTGTTTGACAAAGAGACAGCTTTCTTTTGGAAACCGCATGACAGAACTACTTTTACGGTAAATATTAATTTTTTGAGTGTATATTATTGATGTTTCTTCCTTTTTGGTGTCTGTATATTTGCCAGCCTTGCTGTCTTGTTTTAATTGACTTCAGAAATGTGACTTTTCCTGTTTTTTTCAGGGGATTAATAGTGAATCAAGATTGCACAGCCAGTCATGGCAGTGTCAGTGTATCACCCAGTGATGGCAGGACACTAGTGTGGAATGTAGGTTAGTATACATCTGAGACCATGTTCACATCAAATATTGCTTTGGACTGGAGGTAGACAGAAATGCACTAATTGATGTAAATAGATTCCCCTCACATTGATCCAACCTCATTTTCTCCAGGTCAGAAATTTCCTAGCAAAACATTGGAAGTGTCCCTGAAGGCAGCACTTCTATTTGACAAGGCTGGTTCTATTAGCAAGGGGTTGTATGATGATCCTTTTTGCATGGGCCAAAATGCATATGCACAGGTAATACAATGGACTTCATGAAATAAGTTGAAGGCAACTGCAAAGGCTTTTTAATTGTAAAACATTGCAGTACTTGGATTTAAAAACTTTGTAGTGGTTTACCAGGCAAAACTCAATGGATAATTAGGGTGCTTTCCCAGAGATTTAGATCGATCTAAAGATTAAGATCTAGATCAACCTAACTCCCTGGGGGTTCACGCTAAATTGCGGTCAGCTGAGCGGGCACCATAGTTAATTACCCCCTTACAGCTTTTAGTAGGCGGGACAGACGATTAAGCTGGCCAAGCTGACAGTAATCTAGTGAGACTCCCCACAGGGATAGATCGATCTAAAAATCTATGGAAATGGGGTGTTAGTCTACAAAATGTTGTATTCTTATTTTTATGACCAGTTTTGTGCCAATGTTTTATTTCACAAGTTACAGATTATCCCAGAAAATGATTCCAGTATTTTGATATATAGCATTACTGTATTAAACAGGTGCCAAATTGTACATTACTCTGTGTGTGTGTGTGTGTGTGTGTGTGTGTGTGTGTTAAAATTTTCCATACCCACCTTCCAAAATCTGCAGAAATTGAACCAATGCTGCATTTTATGATTTTAAGCAACTGTATCATGGAAAGTAGAGGTTCATTCTATGCTTGAATTCTTTTATTTTATAGGACTGTTTCAAACAAAACTCAGATAAATCTGTTCTCAAATGTCAAATTTTAGGTTTATTTCAAAATGACAGAATACACACAAACTGGTAGCATGATTGAACCAAAGACTGTGCAGGTCTCTCCTGCAGCTAAAGTGAAGGTTACTGTAGGTAAGGACACGTGTGCTTCTTGTCTTCCATGGCCTATCAAAAGATACACTCTTTCTCATACTGTAAGGTATTATGTATACTGTGATACAGATGCATTGCCTTCTGTGGACCATAGTACTATATTAGATGTGCAAACTGAATATGAGATATGGGAAATGTACAAGATTAATTGACAGTTGAGTCATGACACAGCAGAGTATTTCATTATATCAGTCTGTGCCAAAGCCATTTCGCCTGTAGTCCAAAGCAAAAACGGTAGTCAGTAACAAAAGGCTGGACTTCAGTTTTACTTCCCTATTAGGCCTTGGGACAGAGGTTATTGCCCCAATTTTTATTATTCAACATATATACCTGTATATAATATTTAAACCTTTGTAAATTTTCTGTAAAAATTGAGAATTTCAGTTTTTACATGTTATATGCCTTGTGTTTGTATATTAATGTCTAAATTCATACATGAACTTTTCTGTATGTACATGTGTTTACACATTATTTGGAAAGATCTAAATAGTCTACAAATTTATAATATATCAAATGAATAATTTAAAGCATGTTATAATGAACATATAAAACTGTATTATGTAAACATGTAATTAAGATTTTTATATATGTATCAGTAATATGGGATTGTATTGAGCTAATTATGGGCCAAACAATGACTTAAATACATACTGAAAGGAAAACAAACTGTCGTAGCCAGACCCAACAGCCTAAAGGGCTCATATTCTGTAAATTCTGTTTCAGTGCGTGAGTACTTGGCATCTGACTACAAGATATGGAATTCGCACGGAGATGCTCAAATGACATTTGCTCCTACTTTACCAAGCTGACAGACACCCACAGACTGAAGTAAATGATTTAAATGTGTTGAATGCTTGACAATCACTGTCCGTTTGATGATGGCTGTTTCAGGAAAAGATAATGAATTATTTTTCAGGAATATGAATTATCAAAAGGAAGAGTTTACTAAAAGGCAAAAGGGGTGATTTATCATTTGAAAGTGAACTGTGTTTTGTGAATGGTTGGCATTGTATGCCATGTTAAAATATTAAAAAACATTGTTAAAATGTTGAAATTCAAAATGGCCCAAAGAGATGTATTAGTGAGGTATGGAGATGATTTTCTTCCATACTGAATATCTTTCTTAATAACTTGATTAATCCAGTAAGACATCAGCAACTAGTGGTAAAATAACAGATAAGATAAAATAGTTATGTGAATTTTTTTAGTACGTATACATATATTGTGCTTGAAAATGTCAAACAATATTAGATAATCAGGAGACGGTTAAAAGTTCTTCAACTAAAGATAGTACTATAATAGTGCATGTATGTATCATTCCACAAAAAAGTGATCATATTTTAGTCAAGTTAATGAAGAAGACACAGTGTGCAACATGTGCATGGCTGTTTTGTATCACTCAGTAATTACTGTTGATTTTTTTTTTTTTTTTGTAGAGAATACTACATTGTTTAAGTCAAAATACACACAAATATTGCTTTCTTCTTAAATCATGGTTTTAGACTGATAAAACATGTATCGTGAAGCTTTACATGAAATAGAGGACATAACTGTCTTGACATCATCTTATAAATCATCTCCTTTGTGTCATGCCAAGCTCTGCAACTCTTAGTATTATGTATTGCCTTCCTTTGTTATGTAAAATGGATGTTACCAAATGGTATAGGTAATAACATTGCATGTTGTTTTGTTTACAAATGTTTTGTTAGGTTTGTAAAAGAATAAATTTATACATAACTATGAGATCATATTAATTACGTATGATGAAGAAGATTATTAAATCAATTTTAAGTATTTGCAGAATTTCTAGAAAGTTTTGCATCATATATTTATATCTCCTTCATCCTGATTAGTATAAAAGACACCAAACACAATATATAGGTTTGTTGATATTTAGTCAGTAAACAACACTTTTCATATTTTTTTTTTTTACTCAAATAAGATTTTACAATTATACTTTAAGTAATTTACCAGGTAATCAAAATTTTCAGGATTGATAAGAATTATTAAACTATGACATGACCAAGGTTAATGGTAGCCAGCTAAACAAACAAGTTTTGTGGGGTTGCATCAATATACATACCTGTACGAGTGGTACCAGAATGTCCTTGTGGTACTTTTACATTTTGCATTGATACAACTTTTGTTATAGTCGTGTGGGGTTCAAGCAGGACATATATTAGGTCATAAAAGAGAAGAAAAAAATCTGGGAATATGGCAATGTGATATCACCTATACTTCATATGCATTGTATAGCAGCTTATGCATGCTAACAGTGACACCAGTAGCTTCATGTGTCTCTGTGAACAGTGCTGAAGAGAGAAAAGTTGATATGTTGTTATGGTTCTGAATACCAGAGTGTAAATTTAGATCCTACCAACATGTTGTAGGTTGAATTAAATGTTGATAAGATATGATGTCTTTTATCTGTACACATGAGGAAAATGAATTTGTGATCAAAGGTGTTAGACTGAACTAAGGCAGTCCTGAATAAATTGGAATCTGTGACATCATTATCACTAACGTGAAAAAAAATTAATTAAAAAGAAAGAAATACAATCAAAGGAACGAGCAAAAAAAAACAANTACACATGAGGAAAATGAATTTGTGATCAAAGGTGTTAGACTGAACTAAGGCAGTCCTGAATAAATTGGAATCTGTGACATCATTATCACTAACGTGAAAAAAAATTAATTAAAAAGAAAGAAATACAATCAAAGGAACGAGCAAAAAAAAACAAAAAAAAAAAAAAAAACGGTGGATTCCATGAAGCTGTAAAGAATAGAATTCACATCCAATGAAATGATAAATGAATTAATTTTAATGCACCACTATATTTATAACATAATTATGTGGTGTATTATTAAAATAAGGTCTTTTTTACATTGATAATCCCACCGCTTTTGCAGGGGGGTGGGTGGGGGGGGGGGGGCTGGGACAATGCATTAGCAGACCTACTAGAACGCCACTATTCTGGTATTAACGTAACTAAGGAATACAAAAGAACTGACACCACTAATAAGAGACTTATAATCCTTGCGGAACTGGTGTGTTGGAGGCTGTCATAATGACAGCTGAGACGAGGGATCGGGTTTCCCAATTTGTTTTCATTTAGCAAAAATAGAATAATGAAATTGCATGGGGTTTTATATCCTACCAATATTAACATGTTGTTTGTACTGCCTTAGACCTGTTTCTACGTGTTTCTACAACACAACGAAATCGTGATTCTGGTTTAAGATCTAAAATCATTGCAGTGGGATATTTAGTTGAAAAAAAAAAAAAAAAAAAAAAAAAAACGACAAGGTACGGGTACGTTTTCGTCTCTTCATGCCTTCGATCTCCTTGCGTACCGATAAAAACGTTTTAACCGCAGTCTGGCGTCATATCGATCTTTAATTGGTGTCACGCATGGATACATAACAGCTTTTACATCGTGAAGGCCAATTTAGAGCTTTGCAGTCATATTGTAATTAATTAATCGATTCAACGATACGCGTACTACATGTTCACGATAATTTGCTCTGCGTAGCACAGTAGCTCTGATTTATCCCGACGGCCAGCGGGTTTGAATAGCAGGCCTAAGTTATGACTACATATATTGTACCCCTTTATTATCCGTAAATGTTATTCTATAGAATTTGATCAATGGTAGTTCTTCTGAATAGAGTATGTAGTAAGCAAACAAAAACCAAGTCGGTGAAAAGAATGAGTGTGCGGGGCGACCTTGGGTTGCCATGCTGCGTTGCCAACGACAACAAAACTGCTGTTTGAGCACACTGAACACAGTAGGACAACGTAGACGCTATAGAAGAGAGTAAGAGAGAAGAGTCGTACGGTGAGAGAAAAAAAGCTGTAATTTACGTTAAAAATGTCGCAGCTCGGGGTTTCAAGACCCGCGACGGGTTTTGGGAAGCTACCCGAGATTCAGCACCCCTTATCCAGAATGTCAAACCCAGAGAAGTTGGACGTCCGAGGGTTTTCACGTGCCGGGGATCGGCCTGCCTCACAGATGAATGGAAGGCCTTTAGCAGCAGAAAACAACTATATGTCTCCACGTAGACTTAATACAAGCGCTGGACGCCAATCCAAGAACCAGCTCCGTCATTCCATGCCCGAGCTGACGCATGAGAGCATCCCAGAAGGAATTGAAATTACCCATGGCGATCCCAGTAAAACGCGACTACCAGTCTTTGGTAAGTAACAGTGTTGGTAGGAAAGATTAGGGTAAACTATAAACACTTTATTTTAACACCAAAAATAAAGTTAATGAAATGATATTAAAATATGCCATCGTGTATTAAATGATTTTCGTTTCCCTCGTGAAAATTCATAACAGTTTTTATTTGATAAAAAAAGCTTGTTTTTTTTTTGTTTTGTTTTTTTAATTTTAATAATGGTTATATTTTTGATAAAACTTTATAATGATGATAAAACAGGAGCATTTTTTTTTTCATTTATCTGTCACAGCAATTGGGAAATGGTATTACTTGTTATCTTGAACATTTCTCAGCCCTTGTTATCGCACTAGTAATACATGTGAACCACACGCAGTGAATTCCGTCTGACCTAAAATATTTCAGGGTTATAGAGATTTATGGTATTTAATGCAAGCCTAATATTTACTTCATTCTTTATTTCGGTTATTGGAACTCCAGAGAAGATTTAACTGACACCTTTTTTATTTTAAACACAACAGTAAACACACGACACTTAAAGAGCAGCAACAACCAAATAAAAGATCGTCGTGTTTATTTGACCTACACCTTTGTGCGTGCCACGAACTCTGTTATCGCATATTGCTGTTCAAATTTTGCTATCTCTCAACAAGCAAGTGATGGGCATTTCGGAGTGGTCAAGTATTTGGAAAGGTTTGGTTGGTAGGGATTATTGTAGACAGTGTCTATAACAATCACCAAACATCGACTAAATGATACATCGCATCTTGTTCAGCACTGATTCAGAACTCTAAATTGAAGCGGCACACATTTTACAAAAAGCACTAAAGTGAAGTTAATAACATTTCTGGCAAGCAAATTTGCCACATTGTACATTTCTCGACATTGATGAAATTAAATGAGCCACATCCTGCAAGTGCACTGTATGGGAATACTAATGACGGAAACACGCTCCAAACGTCAGTAATTCCGGCAGCAGCATGACCAAACACAAATGGTAATAATTCGATTAAGACCTGCAACTCGATCTCCACCTCCCACTGCGTCAGACAAAGTTTGTTTTTGATTAAAGACAAGCTGGAAACCTTCGTGAAGTGTCTGCAATATATGAGGGATTAGTGTGTTTGAAATCACGACCAAATATATGACTAGGAAAAGAAATAAAAAAAGAAAAAAAAAAGAAAAAAAAAAAAAAACGCTAGCGCTTTCTCCTTAGCATTAGTATTGGAATGCATGTTTTCATTTCCAGACGTATATATCATGTACATTAGCGCCAGAGCATAAATTATGAGCCGATATTATTATATTCACTCTTAAATATGAAAAATCTGAAGCATACGATAGCAAGAAAATTATAATTGGATCAGGGCAATAGTTATAATTACATTTGATAAATTAAGTGTATGCACGATACAGTTAGAAAAGTGTTGAAAATGACATTTAATAAACTTTTGCCTTACTTCAGGGATATCAAGTCAGGTGTAGGAATCATAACAATTAAGAGTTTCAAACTTACTGTTTGCATTTTTGCTGCCTTTTCCAAAATCAAACTTCAGCAAAAATTTGGCTTTCTTTATCTTATCTGATTGGTTCTTGTTGTAACAGGCAGCCGTGCCGAGGTGGCAAGCAGGGCTGAGATGGGCAGTCGGCTGGCTTCCAGGATGTCTAGGCCAGGCACTCAGGCCAGGCTGGAAATAGATGAGGTAGGTGAATTTAAAAAAAAATTGTTTGGGAGAGGGATTAGGTTGGGTTTTTTCACAGACTATAAAAATTTTGCCTACTTCAAAACCCCAAACTTATGTTAAGAGACCCCATGGGGGGGGGGGGGGGGGGGAAGGTGTGGTTATACAGGTGGTCAGAAGAATAAGAAAATAATGATTTGCTAAATATATCACAATTAATAAATAAATTCACAATCTCATAAAATGTACAATAATCAATATTTAATTTAGCTTGTAAGAGAGACAATTTAAATATAACATAACTAATTTAAAACATTTTTGTTTGTTTTCATCATTAAACCTAAAATGTTGGAATTGTAATGAAGAGTACAACCGTAATTTTTAGTTTTATCTCACTTTCAGCTCGAAATGCTTCTGAGAGAGAAGTCAAAGGGTGGATTTTATGAACTGAGAAAGAGATTCAAGGACAATGATCCAGAAGGCAAAGGCAATGTGACAAGGTGTGTATATAATCTGGGCATAAATTTATGTATGAAAATGTATTCCTTTTTATAAGTAAGAAAGACATCATCAGTAAAACAGATGTGTGTCAGCAAGATTTATTTTCAATTTCAGTGTATGAGAATATGAAAACTGGCATATTTAAGAATGAACTAAACTTTTCATATTAAATGTAACCAGAAAGAAAAATTTAGGAAATCCACAGAGTACCTGATCAGTCTGTTTTTATTTGATTAACCCTGGAGTAGGTCATGTTAGCATGAGTATTCTGTTAGTTCATTATCTCACACACTGATGTTTGTTAACTTGTGCAAGTTAGTGCCCAAAATGCACCTGTCCTCCGCAACAAATAACTTAAATACTGACTGCACAAAAACTGAATGCCCCATGCCCAGAGGAATATTTACAGCCACTAAACTACAAATCTGCAACAGTAGCCATTAGGTCAACAAACCCACGATCTCAAATATTAGTACTAGTACAAGGTGACATAAGAAAGCTTCAACAATAACCAATTGAAAGTAAACAAATTTGTTTAAAACGAGTGATCCAGAACAGCAAATCGGTTATGGCAAAAGGGTACACAAGCAGCTGAAGTGTTCTTATTATTTAAAAGCTTAGTAGTGGTATTTAGTTCGATTTTGTTTTTTTTTTGTTTTTGGAAAAGAACTGCTTTCTATTGTAAATTGTATTTCACTTGGCTCTGGATCAAGGCAGACTAAGCTGGTGCAGGGTCTGAGGCATAATGCAGTTATTTCTGCAAGATTAGTCCCAGGACTGATAAATTTTATATATGAAACTAATTTATTGAATATGGTAATAACTCGATCTTTTCAAATTGAGGAAAATTTTACAGATAATGAATTTTTAAGTAATGCTTTCTTAAAATAAAGTATTCCTATTGAATGGTAGCAACAAGATTTAAAAAGCAGGGTACGCTATAGTTAATTTCTTTGCAGTAAAAGCACTCTTAATGTTATATAAAAATATAATTTTGTGATTATAAAATTATGTATCTGAAAGTTTTATAATTTTTGCCCATTGAAAAGATCAAGTATAAATACCTTAAGTTATAAATTTGAATTTGGCATGATATCCACCCCGAAAAAATGATGATTTATTTTTTCTAAAGATATGTATTTTAAAGAAAGAGAAACATAAATGTTTTAATTTATGGATTATTTTTTCAGAGAGGCACTAGCTCGCATTATTGTCACCTTCCTGGGGCGTCCCCTCAGCAACACACAATTCTCCAGACTCCTCGAGAGATTTGCTTTGGCAGACAAAACTGTGGTGTCCTTTACAGAATTCTTTGCCATCTTCCGTGATGCGGCTTCCTCAGAATATCCCCGCTGGATGGATCCAGTCCATAGACATCACCAGGAAAAAGTGACCATGAATGCAGCCCAGGTTCATGCACAGTTGAAAGAGAAAGCAAAACAAAGGTTAGTTTTATTAATCCCTTTCTTTATGGCAATATTAAGTCCAATCCAACCAATCGAGAAATGTACAATGTGGGAAATTTATTTACTAAATCTGCGATCTTTTGAATTTTAAAAATCATAATTTATGAATAATCCTTTGAGTAAATGGTGTGTAGATTTAATGTTTTCTTACTCATTCACATTAATTAAATCAGGTATAATTCAACTTTTTTTGTTTTCTCTTTACATATTGTTTCGTATTCTTTTCATTTAGATTCCTGGATATGGCAGATTTGATTCCCCAGAGTAATCCTGGGGGCACAGGAAGGCTTCTGAAGCCAGAGTTCAGAAATGCTCTCAACAAGATGATGTTCTTCATGGACGATGACGAGTTTGAAAAACTTTGGGAAAGGTAAAAACTTGTATAGTCGTCCCCCCGATTTATTTATTTATTTATTTATGCATGACATATTTTACATCATGCTTAAACACAAAGTATTTTCAGAAACTTTTTTGGTTTGTTCTATTCAATGACATATACTTCTCATCTCTTATATTATTAAAGTTTGCAAATTAAAATGTAAGCAAGTATACTACCTCACCTATTGCATGGACACTGGGTATGGTTTATAAATAGAAAAAATGAAGCTAAAATTTCTATAATTGAATATTTCAGGTATGACACAGAAGGATATGGTACTATTGATGGAAAAAAGCTGATGAAGAAATTGGGGATCGATTTAGCAAATGGCACAGCTGGCAAGACAAGCCCACGATTAAGCCCTATTCCAGAAGGTTTGTATTAATTGCATATAGTTAAAGGTGTTTTCTGCTCACATTTTAAACTTAATCTTAATTTTTTACAGCTTTTGTTAATGTAATAATGCATATCCATTTTTTTTAAATATCCAAGACTATTTTATGGTTTTGTCAATTTAAATTGTTGTAGCTCAAGAAAAAAACATATTAATAGAGAAAAAATAATATTAAAAACACAGTCAAATTTCAAAATATCCCTTCCTCTACCTCTCTGTTAATTTTTCGTACCAGGTGGCAGAAGATCAGGCATGGCTAGATCACCAAGGAAGAAGGAGGCGGATCGTCAGAGGTCCCTGGGAATTGAAAACTGGTTGAAAAACAAATTTAGAGAGGGATGCCAGAACATGAGAGTGGCTTTTGAAACATATGATGAGAAAAACACAGGAATGGTAAGATATCATTATTTCTATTGTTACACTCTTTATTGACTTTAATTCTTGGAAATCATCCTATTTACATGTCGTACTCATTTAAAAAAACCCTACAAAGTCCCTACAAAGTCAGATACTTACTTTTAGAGTAGTTAATTATTCTGCATAATTACATTTCCGAAAGCAGGTATGAGTACAAAGTTTATTTCTTATAAAAATAATTTGTGATATGTGTCACCATACTTAAAATTTGATGAAATACCAAAGTCTAAAATTTATGGACGTAAATATTATCATAATTGTACACCAATTTGGAATAAAACTATGATTATTTGTCATAGCTTATATATTATATATTTATCACAATGTAATATCAGTCATAAACATTAATTCTCAATGTATTTACAATACAGGTCAGTGCAGAAAACTTCCTGACAGTGCTGAATGAGTTTGGTTTGAAGCTTGAGAAGCCTCACTTGGAGGAGTTTCTGGCCAGAGCTAACATCGAGCTGCAGAGGCAAGGTGTAAAATATAGAGAATTCCTTCACAGATTCCAAGACCGCAGTGAGGCTGGCATGCCACATAAGATACTTTCCAACCCAAAACACAGGTATGTTTACAGAAAATTGCACCAGGTTTGGTAGCTTGTTTAAAATACAACCCTTAAGTTTATTAGATATAAGTGTTAAGATATATGATATACAGGGATATAAATGAAAATTTGCCTCTAGCAAATTTGAGGCATGTATCTCCATGAAAAATTAATACTGTCTTAGTCATTATCTATTAAAAAATATGCTCATTCTGTTATGAATCTCGGGCATGTCTTTTCCATTATAGTGAGCTCTTTCAAGGGGTTACGCAAGAATGCAAGTGTTTTAAGATTTTTTCTCCGTATTTTAGGTACAACAAATCTCGTGCAGGAAGTGCAGGTGGCAAATCAACAGTGAGTGCACTGGAGGCCCAAATCATGAACATGTTCCAGACAGATTTCCTGGCTCTTTTGGGGACATTCCAGTAAGCATCATTTGATTTATTTGAATATCTCTGTTCATTTCATAAAAAATAAATAAAAGTACTTGCTTTCCATACGGAGTTTTTAGTTTGTGTTTGATAGCTACTTTTAGTCATTTTGAATGCAAATTATAAGGTATGACAAAATAAAATAAGATTATTTCACCTATTTTTAGTTTGGGCATTATAGTAACATAGTTAGATATTCATTTTGTTTCCAGTCCTTCCACATATTTCAACCATTTAACTTTAACAATTCTGATGGCTTTGTTTTGTTTCTTACAGTAAAATTGACAGAATGGGCACAGACCAAATCTCACAGGAAGAGTTCAGAGCCGCCATTGAGAGTCGCTTCAGCCTGAACATGACAGATTTGCAGTTCAATAATCTTATAGATAAAGTGCCTCTCTCTGAAGATGGATCTGTGAAATATGCTGAATTTATGTCACAGTTTGATACAAGGTAGATTATTTCAATAAATTATACAAGAAAAAGGTATCTCAAAATTTTCAAAATATCCAGATGATATAATACAGGACATTTAAATTGAACTCAGACATGGTAGGCTTTTTTTCAAACAAAAGTGAATGATTCCCATTTTCTTTTTCTTTAAGCTGAGCAGTCATTGTACCATCCAAGTCATTTTCTTCTCTGTTTGTGAAGTACTGTTGCATGTGACTTAATTTACAATTTCAACTGTGATTTCAGGGGTAAAGCTCCCAGCTTATTTGAGAAAACTGCTGGAGAACCACAAATGCCAAAACCCAATACCAAGGTGGATAGACTTGTGGTCCAGGAGCCCATGGATATTGACTCAGAGGTAGAATACAAGCACAGAACAATACCACAGCTCCAGAAAATGATCAAAGATCTGTTACATAATAGATACGCTGAAGTGGAAAGTGCCTTCTATGAACTGGACGAGTCCAACAATCAGAGACTGTCCCAAGAGCTATTCTATCAGCTCATGAAAAAGTAAGTATTGGCATATGATATTTAACTTAGAATTTAAATGTTTGAGATCTTGAATTGCATTTTTTGCCATTCAGTTTTATCCTTTTTGTTTAATTTATTAACAGCTACAATGAGATTTAGTAATCTTGATAATAAAAATGTATCAAAATTATGTATGAAAATGATTCTAATGAAATAAATATGAAAATATATGAATGTGCTTTTTGAAATGAAAAAATAATAAATAGATTGAAAATTTAAATCACATCTTGATTCCTCAGATTCATAGAGCCAGAGATCACAAGGGGAGAGATCAGAGAGTTATGGAAGACATTCATTCTCAACACACGTAAAACCCTGGATTACCTGGAGTTTGTCCGCCATTTTGGTTACAACGCTAAAGATGCCTCCTTCCCCAATGCCAAACTGTCTCCCCCCAAGAAGGGTGACTCTGATTTCATGATGAGGTCACGGAAACTGAACTGTGCTGCTGATATGCTTCAAGATAGCCTTCGTGCCAAGGTAAATACCTATCTAATTAAGCAGTCAAAAAATAATTTATAACGAAAAGTGCTTATTAATTAAGAAATATTAAGTTCTCAAAAATGTTTAAAATTCAAGTACATTTTTAAAAAATAGATTAATTGTTATCTTGTTTATTCTAAGTACTGTGTATGAATCACTTCTTGAAATATGGTTTTTAACATTTATTTTGAACATTTGATTTATTTTAATTATGTGATATTTTAGATTGATTACATGTGGGAGGACTTGAGAAGAGAACTAGTGGATATGGATCCTTATGCTACCCAGTTTGTTACCATTGACGAATTCAGGGAAATCCTGACCGAACTCTGTGTGCACCTTAGTGACTATGAATTGGATATGCTGTGCAAAAAGTTTGAGACCAAGAAAGATGGAAGGTTAGTGGGAAAAAATGATTTTTTATACAATTTAAGTAAAACATGTTCTATATGCTGAAGTTCACAAAACACATGAAGAAATCTAAGGAATATTCAATATTCAATATTTCATATTCAAGATTTTAGGATTAAAATTATGACAATTTTGTAAATTTCAATGTCATTCAAATCTGGCACACAAATTATGGATGTACAGATATGTACGCCTAGTGTAAGCTTAACATTCCACCATCATAATTTAAATTTAATTTAACTAAAGGCAATAATATAATATTTTTATTTTCCAGAATCAACTATGTAGAGTTCTTGAAGCCATTTGCACTGAAAAAACAAGTATGGCGCCACGGCAACAACATGCTTTCCTTGCTCCAGCACCCTGCAGCAGAGCTTCCCATTGCTGATATTGTAGAAAATCCAGAGAAGGGACTCACAGGTCTCACAGCCAAACTCAGACAAAAGGTAAAAAAATATTTCAAAACAACTTTTCTGTATACATAAAATAATTTTAAATACCTGATTATGGCTCCCTGACTTTCACAGACAACTGAGAACTCGCCTGTGTTACGATTTGGTGGAAAGGACTATTCTTTAGTACTTTGAAACCCTGGGTGGTGGGCCAAACATAGCCAAATCTTTTATGAATTGGTTGGTTAGAAGTGCTTTCAGCCAGTCATTTCAAATCATAATCTACTGTTTGTGTTTGATAATATTTTAAAGAACTAGTTTACCTTAAATATTGTAATATGTAACATGTTTTATTTACACCATATTTCTCATATTCCAGTTGTCTGGTGATTGGAAAAATCTGCGTCGTACCTTTAAGAAACTAGATGTCAACAACGAGGGCTACCTATCAGTTCCCGAGTTCCGATCTGTCTTAAAGCTGGCCAATGTGGTCTTAGATGAGGAAGAGGTGTATCAAGTGATGCAGAAGTTTGATGAGAACATGAGTGGGAAGATTCCATATAACAAATTCCTCAGTGAGACATTTAAGCAATCTCCACAAAAGGCTGTCTAAAATGTCCCAATTAATTGCCTTTTTTGTTAGCTTAGGTATCTGTAAGCATTGCCATAAAGGAAAGATTTGGTTCTGGCATTTTTGTCCAAGTTATGGATTAATATTTTTTACTATGATATATCAAATAAAACCACAAAGCATATAGAAGTGAAGAGGGTAAAGAGAAGTGGCACTTGTAAAAGTTGGACATAAAAAAATGGTTTTTCAGATAAGTTCATTTTACTGCCAGTGGTAATAATTGGCCCTGACTGTATTTTTTCATAATATGACCAGGTTTTTTCACACAAACTGGCCTCAGATTTTACTTTTTGTGGATTGAAAAGAATACTAATGGAAGAATACTAATGGTTACCTTCAGTGAGGTGTGTTTATGTAAACTTTTAAATAATTAATGTCTTCTATTTTATACATGGAAAAAATGATTGCAATTAAAAAATTTTAAGACAATTTAATAGTCGGTGATCAACAAATTATCTTAATGAATATTGTTATATTGACAATAATTTCAAAGTTGATTTCTAATTAAGCATAATGAAAGCACAATGATTTTCAAATAATTGAATGCAGCATAATATTACTTTTGATAAAACTTATTTATTTTATTTTCAAATGGATAAAGATATTTTCTCATGTAGTTTACATTGTAAATAAGGGATAAATCGTTATTTGTAACATAAAACATGATGGTTATGTTGTGTTTGTCAAAGGGTAAAACTGGCATTTTCCTTTTAAAGCTGAAGTTTAGTTTTCCACCCCTACAACAATTTGCTCAAAAGAGTTAAAGTAACAGTATTGTATGTTGATACTCCCACAGTACTAGTAGGTACATGTATACCTCTGAACTTGGCTTATTTCTGTTGTTAAGTACTGGTGATTTTTTGTATTTGTTTAAATATGGACCACAATTTGTAATAAAATCTAAAATCGAAATTTTCTAGTATTTGTTTATATTGTGTTTTTCTATCATATACTCTCTTTAGCATAAATTAATTTACCTCCTTCAACATGACTTATCTTATATTCACTGATCATCTTTGAACTAGGTCGACAAACTGGCTCTGGCACACACCTAATACAAGTAAAATTGAGTCCATTTGTTCAGTTATTGGCCACTATATCTGTTTGAGTCAGCAGATTCTTGGACCAAGGCGTTCCAAACTAGAGACAGTAGGCTGATTTTTTTTTTTTTTTTTTTTTGGTTGAGACTGTCAACTTATGTAAATTCAATCTGTGAAACACATCAGGAGAATTATCTTATGAAAACAAAAGCTATCTCTTGCTGTAACCAATACACTCTGGTCAATATGGACAAGTTTAACGCTTCAGAACTGATTGCGTTAGTTGTGAAAGTTGTGCCAGAGAACACAATATGTTACCTCTGTGAGATTTATTCACACAGGTTTTATATTGTGAACCTTTCACTGTATATAAGGTTGTCAACTCTGTATGTATCAAAGTTTTTACATAATTCTGAGGACCAATGTCTTTGAGGATTATCATTTCGAGAACGCTTTCAAAAATGAGATCTACACATTTTTGAACGATCATGTTGGAAAACACTACCAACTGAAATCCCCTTGATTATACACTCTATTTTAAAGAACTGCAAGGTGGAAGGAGTTGATTGTACTAGCTCTGACTGTGACTGTAGTATAAAGGCTTGTACTGCTGTTAAGGCTGCATATGCTGTGAATTAACAGCTGAGTTCCAGATTTAACAAGGTTTTAGCCATGACATATTTCTATATGACGGCATGAGATAAAAGGACAATAAACTGACACCTATAACTTTTGCTGTTTTGAAAATTAAAAAATCTGTGGTGACTAGGTGTTTTTAGATAAAGGAATCTTTTTTAAAATGCAATAAAAGGCAAGACTACATTTCACCTTTGCATTATGCATCTATTCTGTTAAAAGAACCTCCCAAAAATATACTGTAAAAATAGTTACTTAGTATCTGCATAATTGAGACATAATATTGCCGTTAAATATAAACACCACAGGCCACATAACTTGCACCAACTTAAGCAGTAACTGTAATTATAATATTAATTAGAGCTATATTAATGAGCTTCAGTTCCAAATAAATAAAAAAACATTTTATGAAATACACAACACAGAAATGTTTACCAATTTGTTAACTTATATTCTGTTCCCAAATTAATGAACGAAACACACATTTCATTCTCTTAATAATTAATTCAAATATGCAATAACATGAAGTATCATTCATCAAGCATTTGGTCTGCCACTTTGATACTCATATCACTAGAAACCTCCGCTGAACACTAAACACTGTGACAATTTCTGCTAAAGTCAACAGGTCCACAACCTTGATACACCATCTGCAACCAGTCACCTTCATGATAACCATCAATCGTCCCCGTTTCTAAACCTTTATCTCTCCACGCATCAGACATCAAGGGAAGATGCCCCTGACCTGTAAACATAAATATAGAATCAGCTTACCTAGTTTCTTAATTTGGAAATAAAAGGGTCAAATTAGTCATCAAGATGGCAAAGAAGCTAGCTGATAGATGATGGAAATATTGATCAGCATTATCAGTCAATGACATCATCTAAGATGCCTCCTTTACCTAGCCAAATAATGGCCAGTTATAACTAGATTTAACCTTGAAGAGATTATTCATTAACACCTATGAATGTATCATTTGTAATTTCATCATCATTTAACAAAATGACTGAAGATGTTCTTTGGCACGGAAAACTGCCAAATTGTAATCAAGAAAAAGAAACAGATGCACAACACTTAGCTTTTTTTTTTTTTTGCATTTGGCTAAAACATCTGGCATAAACCACTTGATCAATAATAAAGTTAATACATGTAGTCGCATAATTTTTTTAAAAATTGTTAAATCTGCAAAGAGAGTCTTACATGTGGCTATACCATTCCATTATAACCTCATAACACATTCTCAATCTTGTAGAATATCTGGATCCTTTAACTCCAAGTTCAGCATCATGTCCACTGTGAGACCTTGGTCCTTCAGAGTATAGTCAGCTTGGTCACTAAGAGTCACTCTTGGGTAAGTAGTAGATATTGTATATATAGTCTGGTGGTAGCCAAGCTTGGTGATGTAGTCTAATAATACCTTTAATAGCAAGATAAATTTTTCTTATTAGAGGAGGGTGCAAAATTTACAACTAGATGGTGTCAATGGGTAGCCATCAAATTTCCCCCTTCCTTCCACACATTGTTAAGTAAGAGTAGCTCACCCCTTCATATTTATGCAATGCCTGGGTCCTATATGTACAATTGTTGCAAATAATCTTCATAATAACAACATAAAAAGTATGTTTTAATGTAAAAGAGAATCATCCAACCCCTTAACCCACAGGGACAGCCCAACCTCCAGGAATACACAAATTACGACTGGCCCATTCACATCCCTGATGTTAGGTCTATCAATCCCAAAAAGTTCAAACTTCCTCACTCTAATGGTCAAGAATATGGTCTAGATAAATGAAGTTATAATATAGAAAATTAAAATCAACCACCCAGGGACAGCCCAACCCCAAGGGCTCATGTGCATCTGTGATGATAGGTCTGCCAATACCCAAATAATGAATTTCCTCATTATAATGGTCTAGGAGAAATAAGCAGAAATTACAATGTGAAAAAAATTAAGAATCAATCGCCCACCCCACCCCCACCCCCAGGGATAGCCCAACCCACAGTTTCACTAAAATTCAGAAGTGCCCATACACATCTCTGATGATATGTCTATCAATTCCTAAAGTTTGAACTATCTCCCTCTATTGGTTTAGAAGTTAGCAAAAATCACGATGTAAAAAAGAATTAAGAATCAACCACTCCCCAGGGACAGCCCAACCCGCTGCCTCCCGAAAATTCCAAAGTGCCCATGCACATCTTTAATGATAAGTCTATCAATGCCCAAAGTTTCAACTTCATGAATGTAATGGTCTAGAAGACGCAAGAAGGCACAAAGATACATGCATGGGCAGTATAATGTGATCCCTGACTTTTGTCCCAAGTGTGGGCATAATAAATTGTTATAAGATGTGCACACACACACACACACACCATTTAATCTAATAAGGACCTGGAAATTAAAGGTACATACGAACCGAGCATCTGTAGAGCGTGGATTCCCAGTAACACATGTAAACCACTTCTACTAGTTTCTTATATGACTCAAACAAATTCTACATGCCAAGGGATAAACTTAATAGATCACTCAATCAGCCAAAAAAGAGCTTTAGATTGCTCCTTTCTTTAAATCTTTGGTCGGGAAGTTAACCTACTTTTGTGACCTACATGTACTTTTCTGCCCCATTGACATACAGCATAGAATGCTAGCAGAAAAATCCGTTTTAACATCATTTTTGGGTTAAATTAAACAATGCCTTTTGTAATTCTTTAGTTAAACTACTTGAAACTATATGCTGGCATTTGTTCGGTTTTTGTGGCAAAAAAATTGACTTTATATGCATCTTGATTGTTCATGTACATGTAAAGTAAAGTAAAGCTTGTGTAAAATTGCTATTTGTCAGTGTGAGCTACCTGCAGCTGCTTGTAGTTCATGCTCACATGCATCAGGTACATGTATAGGAGACATGTACATCAATCCTCCCACTGGGACCATCTCTCAATTTAATGTGACACTGACACATTATCATCTAGTGTCAACCAAACCCAGGAGATGCTGTGACAATGCCACATAATAATTACATAAAATTTTAAACACGAGTAATGAAATGTTGCAGGCAAATGCCTTAAACTGCAACAGTCACTGTTGCACCTCCTCCTCCCCCCCCCCTCTAAGTGTTGTTCTACACACTATTATCACCACAGACTGTTTGAGGTCAATAGGCAGAAAATTTATTGCTACTCCCGCTACCACATAAAACATTGTTCAATAACCAACACAAGGCACCTGAGTCAAATTATAATCACCAATAGCTGTCACAGTGATTTTTTTTTCACTGGTCTTTTGGTTGGTTTGATGTTGTGTCAAAGAGTAGAGTGCAAATATGAATATAATATCAGATAATGAAATTATAAAAAAAACAAACAAGTGATATATTTTCCACTCTGCCTCCCCCCCCCCACATACACACATACAATTAATGTCAACGAGTATGATACAAATATGTACATATGTGTATTGCATCATACACACCTCATAAAACATCTGTACTCATTAGCACCAACAGTTTGACAAACATACTTATAAATTCAACAAAAACCTTTTATGATGTAAATGTTGGTTATAGTATTTCATATGTCAAGTTTCATCACATTTGAGGGAAGATTTCGAGTCTCATCATTCATGACATACAAGCTCATGTTTACTTAATAAAATGTATGTATATAGCCCTGACATTGCAGTACTGGGTTAATATATATCAATAATGTATATGAAGCTGATGTATTATGCATGAAGATGTGCCAGTACAGTAGATTCATTTTGAAGTATGTCTTTAGAATTAAAATTGTCTGTTATCTAGAAGCTAATTTAACTTAATTAAAAAGAAAAGTAACAATTAATCTAAGTACCTGAGCAGAGAACACATCTGCACAAAAACTGAGGTGGCAATAGCCATTAACATTAACTAGTCTGAGTGAAATTTTTCTTTTGATATTTTTTTGCTCATTATAAACCAAATTGAATCTTTAAATGAGAAGAGTGAAAACTTTACAAATGAAATAAAAGATAAAATGCAAACTTAATACAACACTTATTGAAGCAGAGATGACACCTGAAAATTTGAACAATAATGAAATATCAGGGGGATGATAAGAAAAGTTTTAACTCAAGGGCATATTCAGTCAATAAAACATTACCTGTATTTTATCTGACTGCATAAAGCGTCTCCTGTGTATTTTCCCCAGGGGTGTCCTGAAGGAGAGGAAGACAGTGTCAGGAGTCCCTGGGGAGGGTTCCTCTGGGAGAGTGATTATCTGGGGAAAAATTTTAAAGATTAACCAGTTTGTCAATGTAATTTGTGTCTGGACACGCCTAAATGAGCACAGCTCTATAATCACTATGGTCCATATCAAAAGAAATATATATAGATTTTATTCTGATGAAAATGCATAGAGGCAGTACTAGTATATATATGTTAAGTTTGTAAACTGGTTTAAAGTTACTGTAGGGGCTCCAGAGGTGCATTATGGTTAAGTTTTACCTTCCTTTGCTTTGGCTTTTCTTGCATAACTGATTGATTGTGGTGTTCAGGCAATTTCCTGGCTTTTGCTGCATCTTTCCCAGTTTTGCCATTGGCTTTGTGTTTGCTTGCACCATTATCTTCTTCTCCATACTATTTATACATTTAAATAAAATTAAATAGTTGAAAATTTCTAAAATTAAATAGTTGAGAATTTTTACTTTTCATGAAAAATTCTTATCTTCAACAGTCTCAAGACAAAGTATAAACAATGCACGTGTGTGGAAAGAGTTGGTGTAAGAAAATGTGTACAAGGATTTTCATTAAAATAGATTTTTTGTGACTATTTATTATCCATAAAATAATCTATGTAATCTCATACATAATTTCATAATTTCTAAACTGACCCAATTCTATATAAAATATCAAACTATTTGCTCTCTTCTGCTAGGGCCCCAAGTAACACGTTATTTCTATCCACCCATCCACAGGAACATTGAACACTGCCATGCTCAAAGACATCACTGTTAAAACAGGTGGTGACGGAAAATTACAGCCACTCTGGACCAGAATAAAATTCGAGGGCATTTTCTCTATTATCTAATAAGATAAGACACCTGCACTGGAAAGTCTATACATATCTTGTAAGTGTGTCAAATGTGATGTCAATATTGGGTCAATAAGAGCATAGAAGTCAGCTGACAATTTCTAGCTGTCTAAGAAATTTCTGCAAATTTAAACCGTTTGAATATGAGCTTTGTCAATATATTTAGTCATGTGGTTAGGGATTTTAATATGACCAAGCAAAGAGAGGCAGAACACTCTTCCCTTAAAGTAAGCAAAATCTATCTGAGAAAATTAAAGATAAATGTTTAGAAGGCAAATTCTTCAGCTGTCTCAATCTAAATATGGTTATGCATGAATTAGATCAGATTACTTCAATAATATCCTGAGTAAATGATACATCATATTGTGCAGACTAAAACATGTTTACAAGTAACTATAAGATACCATCATAAGCAATTATTTTATTTATTTTGGGGGACACCTTAATTAGCACCAAGTTGAGGATGAAAAAAAAAAGAATAATGGTACAGTTAATGTTGATCACTTGAGAATTTAATAGAGAGAATTTGAGATGTACTACTTCTATTGAGGCATTAATTATTAATAATCCTGCCACTGCTCTAACAGAAGCCGGGTTCCATCTTTTGACAAAAGTGTAAGCCAAATTTTCATGAATAAAACTTCATGCATTTTTGAACTTACTCCAAGTGGTGTTCCCTTTCCCTTCCAAGCTGGACCTGCAAATCTATAGTATTGTTCCTCTAGCTTTTGGCGTTTAGCTTCTTCTTTGGGTTGTAATACATTTTTTCTATACTCAGATGCCTGAAACACAACAAAACTTATAACATCATTTCTTTCAAAACCATTAAGTTTTCTTTATTACATTATAAGTAAATAAAAGGGTTGCATAATCCCTTTTGGACTGAAAAACCTTAAAAGAGGTTCACCTCCAAAGGCAAAACTTTTTTTGGCTCCAAAAGAGATAATACTACCATTATTTTGGGCTTTGCATTTATTTCTTTTATCATATTCTATTTCTATTACTTAATAATAATAATAATAACAATAATGATATCTGCTACAAGTACATGATCCTTCTTTTCATAATTAACAACAGAAACAATATGGTACATGGTACAAACCCACAGGGAATAATAAACTTCCTTAAACACATTTTCCCTACATTCAAGTAAATTCTGTCACTGTATATACAGTAGACCATCAGGACATAGGTTACCTGCATGAACTATATCAAAGCTACATGGGCCTTTATATTGCTATACAGAGGTGAAAAAATACATACATCAACTACATGACAAACAGCGTATGTCATAAAAAAACAGTTCCATACTCCAGCAGTTTTCTGTAATACAGTGTATAATATTTTAGCTTACAACCCAATATATATCAAAGTTGTTCATACAAGTTGTTCAAGTAAAGGATCCTTGGCATTTCTAAATTTCTACAATACATTTTCCCAATAATTAATAGTTGGAAAATTGTAAGTAAACTACAAAACAATCTGACACTACTAAAGCCTAAAATTAGGATGATCATATCCTTAATCAAAAGCACATCAAGACACAAAGACATTCCGAGCTCCTCTGGATCATATTTCTAACCCCTGTGTACCTCCCAACTCCCCTGGAACTGTCAATGTTTCCACGCAGTCTTGTTGGTCAAGTACCTCAAGTGCAGTGTCTTCTGGAGACCGGAACTCATGATACATGCCAAGGATAGGACAGTGACATGCATTTTACATGAAATATGTTTCTTAATATTAAAATTAATTAATAAATCAAATCACTTTTAGAGCACATAGTCTCTTCTTTGGTGCTTTTTTCACTACCTAACTTGTTTCTGCACATAGGGTGACCAAGTGTAAATCATCAATTTCTTATATTAAAGGGATAATAACTCTTTGTATGAGATCTATATTTCACAATAAAAACATTGTAAACAACTCATAGAAATATAATATATTCTGTTTTACCACAAAAAAGGCAGTTATAGCTGTTATTCTGATATCTGAGCTTGTCTTCAGACCACGTGACCTCCATTGATGGCTATACTCTGTTATAATCTCTTAAGAGATTTTAACAAAAAACCAAACTTTTTAGAAAAAAACCAGGGACTAACTTTGAATGTACAAATAGATTCATTGACCATTGGTAAGTATGTGAAAATTGTTGTTTACTCCTGGAAAATTCATTTTTTGGCCAAAACGAAGAGTTATTATCCCTTTAACTGTTGCAAGTTGAATGCTTTAATTTTCTAAATGTCCGAGTTACATATATCAATCACGAAGAAGAAACTAAACTTCCAGTTCATAAATAACAGCTGCAGCTTCTGTGAGATAAGATAAAAGTTCACTTGTATCTGGCTTCATGCAGCTGGGGTGTTTAAATGAAGTCTAAACCGGTGTATCATGACCCAAAACATTGCAGCGTAACTGACACATATACGTAATTTTATACTTCAAATATCTAATATCAAGTTTAAGTTCTAGATACCGGTACAATCAGATCAATTGTTGTGCTTTCATGTCATTGCACATGGCATAGTCAGTTGACTCAAATTATAGCTGCTTCCACAACAATCTCTCACAATATATGGACAAGTTTTAGTAATCAAATACACTGTAGTACATACGGTACCAGTCACTGACAATTTCAGTATATATTCTGGAAGCCTTACAGAAGCTTTTTTTCTTTATTCTGGTCTGATACAATAGCCAATTAGTATAAATCACTGGAAAAACCAGTACATTATGAAATGAGGAAAAAGTTTTTTATTTATTCTGTCCACGACATAAATGAAACTTTAAGTGAGTGAGACATAGGTTTCAAAGTAAGCTGTATTATTTTATATTTTTTTCAAGGTTGGGATGAACAGTTTGTGAAAAGGGAGGTGGAGAGCAGATCCCTTCCAAATCTGCTAATTCCTCTCATCTGTTTGCAGATTCAATACTAAAGTAAACCTTCATCATATATGTGTGATCCAAATGCATTTTAAAGGTATACTATATTGATTTTCTTAAAAAAAAGTCCCATAATACACTGTAATGCTGTAAATCTTTCCCAATTTAGAACTTAAAAGTGTGATGTTGATATATCTTTGGACAGGAAGACATGGCGATTTAAACACCTGTTTTTTACTTGCAGAATATTTGATTTGGCATAAAAATCCTGACACAAAATACATACAAGATTAAGTAATGAAAAGACCAGACAAAATTGATAAATTGGTAAACAAAATCATCTGACTCTAATTGTAGATGAATTTGCAATTGCTCCCAAGAAATATCATTACTGTTGACAATTTACTCTCCCAAAATAAGACTGATAGGCCAAAAAAAAAAGCAGCCCAACCCTGAAATTTAGCTTCTAAGCTTATTATTAATAAACAACATTGTTTAAAAACAAAGATTACATACAAAGAGTTGCCCCTCATTAACCAACCTTCAATTTTGTCTGCCCTAAAGTAGCCAAATTCTACTTAAAATGTGTCATATCACATTACTTTTTCTGCATAATCTTCCTGAATTTTCTGTCTTATTTCCTTTTCTTTCTCTTTGTATTTCTGTTCTTCAGTGGGCAGTATGTCTACAACTGTTACAGAAAAAACAAATATAATAAAACAAATAATAATAAAAATAATAATTATTATTATATACATTAAAAACATTGAAACTGTGAGTAGTTCTCAAGCTTGACTTTCTCAATCAGACTGTCTCCATTTTCACAGTGTAGTTAATAACTCACCCTCACTACAATCCTTTCTAATTCATTCAAGGGGACAGCTTAATGTAACGAAGGTTTGCTATTCCAAAAAATCCAGTTAATTGAACTAAAAGCAGTTGTAAACTTGTAAACTTCTTGCTATGATGAAGATCTGCTATGCCAAAATGACAGGGTTTGATATTTGGAATGTTTCCTTAGGAGTAGGGTTCGTTATTCCTACAAATAAAACTGCCATAGCTGAGCTTTACCAACTGCAGGATTTACAACCAGTATTCCAGTCAATAGTCTAGGCCCAAGCCTAGGTCCCAACTACGTTTTGGACACACGGTTTTTAGGTTGCTTGCGTCCAGCTAGGACATAGCTAGATCGCAGGGAAGAAATCAAGTAATAGGTGAAAAGTTTCTACGTGCCGTTTGCATCCTCCAAAAGTCGCACGATGGATGTGCTCCTCACGCATAAACTCCCACGTTTTCCCCATATTTTTTGCCATAGACCACATGTAGCAGCCTGTACGTTCGGTTGGGACCTAGGCTTAACATATTATGCAATAAACTGACACATAATTTCAGGCGGATTTCAATATTTCATTAAAAGTGCATATCAAGGTGCACACAAATTTTACTTGTATATTTTACTTATTGTAATTTACCAATACGTTATTATAATTTTACATTAAAAATTAAGTGTATTTTCTTCAAAGTCTTTACGCTCTATCTGTATGTGTGTTTCGGAATAGCAAACCTTCTTCATATCAGACATTCAGTATAGCAATCCTTAGGCAGAGTGAACCTTGGCCATAGCAGACCTTTGGCATAGTGAACCTTTTAAAAAGTTATTGATGCTTTAAATGTTCACCATTTAAACCAAAATTAACAACAAATATTACTTCATTTTGATATAAAAAATAAAGACTTGTTCTTCTGCCTTGAAGGAAAGGGGCTAAAACCTGGTCAAACCTTTTGTTTTAGATTCTAAAAATCCCTTGAGATACTTCCAACAAATGTACAGGACACCACTCAAAGCCACAGATATGATCAGGAAACGAAGGCCATTCAGTACCAGTAAACTCAAGAGCTGATAAGGATCTGAAATAAATAATAAAATTATATCATGCAATTTCCAATCATTTCTGTTTTTAATCAACTCTATAAGAACTATGTTCCAATATACTGAGTGAGTCATATTTACAGTACACAGTAATTTTTGGCATCAAATTGTAATAAATGATTTTTTAATCCTACAAATATTATATATGCAAAGGGCATCTTCATATATACACTGTCAAGAAGTTTCAGTACACAGTCAACATTGGCTGGGGTATAGAAGTTCAAAAAGGAGGTTCATTGTCTTCAGCAATATTCAAGATTACAAAAGAGACCTCCACAGGCATGTGCAGGACAAAGGTGTTGATAGCTACAGCCACGGACCATAAACATACAGTAACAATTATTACATAATTATACAACGTTTATCAGTCACCTATAGTTACCTGGTGGACATTCATTATATAACTTGTGTCATCACTATTATTAACAATTTATATAATGCAGCCTGATTATATCGGAAGCCTGGTATGTACCACACATATTTCGTTATCTCAAAGATTTACCCTTTACTGGAGCTGCACATTAATTATATGCACTTTCTTCAACACTGTGGAGAAATGTGCCATTCTTTAGCCAGAGACATACAGTATCTGTGAATATCTAGTGAAAAGTCAATCTGTGGACCTGGTTCTATGGTAGAGGGCAATTTTAATGAAATGATGTGCATGTATCGGCCCGCATGTATGTATCATTACAATATGTTCACCAATATATATATTTCAGGATGCCACTAACTCCCTCTTTCTCTAAATAAATTTTAAGCAGGTAAACATTAAGTACATATAGGCCTGTCTGGGTGTGGACAGTCTAAACTGGATTCCCCAGAATAAAATTTCAGTCATACTCAAGTACTGATAGTTTCCCTACTTGTGCCCATCCCATACCCATGGCTTGGAACTGTATTCAACAGTGTAGTCATTGATAAAAATTTAAAAATGACCTGGTAAGGAGTTTACGGATTTTCAGGATACCAGGTCACTGCGTAATATAAAGGGACTTGCAACAACCTGCACTTGGCCTTACTAGGCCTACATCACATGGATTACAATACAACACATAAGGAGGGGGGGGGGGCAAAAGCTGCACAATGTAATGTTTGAAAATCTCAACAAAGGGTTACGTATATAAAACAGTGTAAAACATACATCGAACGCTATCGAATCACACCCTTCATATTACCATAATCAAAGGTATAAACAATGGCCGACAGTCCCAAAACCGCTGCTAGAAGAAACCAGTCCTTTCCAGCCATCGCTATGTATTACCGAAGTGACTTGTAAACATGTCCGCGAAGTTCTTAGCTTAGGCAATTTAGGTTGGAATTTCCCCAAAATGAATGTTACATTAAATGCATTATCTGCCAAAACATGGTTATTTTTCTTATATTTGTCTTTTACATATATTCAAGCNTCAAGGGTATAAACAATGGCCGACAGTCCCAAAACAGCTGCTAGAAGAAACCAGTCCTTTCCAGCCATCGCAATGTATTACCGAAGTAACTTGTAAACATGTCCGCGAAGTTCTTAGCTTAGGCAATTTAGGTTGGAATTTCCCCAAATTGAATGTGACATTAAATGCATTTTCTGCCAAAACATGGTTATTTTTCTTATACTTGTCTTTTACTTATATTCAAGTGGTCATAGAATAAGAGTCTTTTGTTTTTGAAAAGAGTAAAGATGCATTTGTTTACATTCTTTTTTTCTTGAAGTCACCCCTTAAGGCCGAGTCCATAAATGACCCAATCAACGCATCCATAACTTCCACGTGACTTTACTTATCTATATAAGCACGATGGCAAGCACAATCGACCTCTTTTCCAACACATCTCTAAGCTAGTAGAATGTCACAGGTAATAAATGGTACGATGAATGGACCAAGTAATGGAAAAGAGAATCCGCATTACCTTGAGCTGAACCACCATTACGCTGAAGAATGCAGCCAAGACGATATCGGATCATTCCTGTTCACGTCAGAATCTGTTGGAGAGGGACACCCAGGTAATACCCGACTGCTACGCGCTTTTAATTGATGAGCACGTGAACGGCTTTGTATACAATATAGTATGTATGATGGCTTGCCGTGCTTATTGTAAATGCAGGCTACTTCTGAAGTGCTCGTCGCTTTCATGTTGCATTATGTCGTTTCTTGATTATGTCCCTGTCATGAAATGAGACTCAGTTTGGATTATATAATAAAAAAGATCGTTTTTACTTCTAAAACAACTTCAAATGATTCAGGGAGTTTTACTATTTAAGGGTAATATACTTCAACAGCGAACGAGTTTGACATTGGCTACAAAAAAAAAAAAAAAAAAAAAAAA